ACATAATTTACATAAAAAACGTAATAGTTATTTATATAAAACGAAGGCACACTTATTTGAACCCAAAACATGATGTCTTTCCTAAACATAACCACATACTTTTGGTACCTCAATCTAACGTAGCTAAAATGTATACATCTGTAAAACGTTCATAGTGTTGGCTGTGTGAGGGTGAAGTGTGACCCTGTTGAAGCCTTACTGTACGTTGGAAACAGCTGATGACGGCTATTTAATGGCCTGATAACATTCACAATGGTTGCCAGACAGTTAAGCAAAGCGACTTACAATAAGTGCATTCGACCAACAAGATACAAACTTGAAGAAAACAGAATCATATAAGTACATCAGGTTTCATAGAGCTAAAACATTTCAAGTGTTACTCAACTGGCTTTAGATAAGCCAGTCCTTTATTAGTATATAAGTGCTTTGTTAGCAATTCTTTGTTAGTGCTTCTATCGCTCGAAGCGGAGTCAAAAGAGATGAGTTTTCAGTCTGCGCCGGAAGATGTATTGACTTCCAGAGGTGGGAGAAGTACGCAGATCTTGTACTTGAGTAAAAGTAGAAGTCCTGCATTCAAAATGTTCTTCAAGCAAAAGTACAAAGGTGTTAGCATCAAAATATAGTTAAAGTACCAAAAGTAAAAGTACTCATTCTGCAGATTTGTCCATTTCAGAATAATATATATGATATGTTTTGATTATAATTATTCATTAACCGAGCAAGACCACACCCCTAAAGACACTGCAGTCTGTACTGCAAGTATCTTGCTCAAGGATTAATCTGCATGTTGACAACATGGGCTGGGATCGAACTCACGACCTTCTGGTTGAAAGAAGACCGCACTCCCTCGTAGCTACAGTCGCCCATCTGCCTTACATTGGAAACAGCTGATGACGGCTTCTTAATGGCCTGATTACATTCGCAATGGTTGCCAGACAGTTAAGCAGATAGTATTGACTTTCAGAGGTGGGAGAAGTACTTAAATCTTGTACTTGAGTAAAAGTAGAAGTACCAGAGTGTAGGTATACTCTGTTACAGTACAATTCCTGCATTCAAATGTTCCTCAAGTAAAAGTAGAAAAGTATTCTCATCAAAATATAGTTAAAGTAGCGACAGTAAAAGTAGTCATTGTGCAGATTGGTCCATTTCAGAATAATATATATGATATGTTTTATAATGATTGATCATGAAAGTGTTCTCAAAGCTGGTAAAGGTGCAGCTAGTTTGAATGACTTTGTATACTGCAGGGTAGCTTGTGGATTTACTCCAGGTGGAACTAAAGTCTGATTTAACACTTGATTATATTTCACATCATTCATCCAAATCTGCACAGTAAGTACAAATATGTGTCGTGGAGTAGAAGTACAAAGTAGCATACAATGGAAATACTTAAGTAGAGTAAAAGTATCTCAAAGTACTTGAGTAAATGTACTTAGTTACTTCCCACCTCGGTTGAGTTCCTGCGAAGAGAAGCTAACCCCTGTTAGCTACATGTTTAGCATAAGCAAATTAAGTTGATCTCTTTAATCCCAAAAACAATTTATTTCAAAGATAATTTCACAGTTTTGGCTTTGTACTCAAGTGACACCATCAAATTCACAGTCAACACTTGCCTACATTACCCACAAAGCAACTCAGCCGCAGAGTTAAATCAGTAATTTTAATGTTTATTTGTTGGTAGTGGCTAATGTAGCCTGGAGCCTTTAGCAGCTCCACATTTTCAGTGTTGTTCTTTTCTCTCCATGTTTTCAGGTTGCAATAAGGTTGATTTAGGATTGGTGAGTGTTATTTCTGAATATACCTTTTGAATAAACACATTGTATTAAAGCTTGTGTTCATGCATTTGTATTTTACCATATTTTGTTTTCATTTCTTATTATTGTTTTCTGTTTTTCACCAGGATCTCTGCAACGATCTATTGCTAATTGGAATGTAATGCTGCCCTTGGATTGGCTCTCACACCCTGGACATTTTTGAGGTTTAAGATTGTGAGACACTTTGTGTTTTCTAGAATATATGTCTGGCTTTTGTCTGGTGGTTGACTAATCAGAACAGAGTGGCCGAGCTGACCAATCGGAGCACACTAGGCTCACAGGGAGGGGGGGGCAAGAGCTCCAACGAGTCGTTTAGTGGAGAGAGTGAATACTGCTGAATACACATACTTTACAGAGATGCTGTATGCGAAACCAATGTGAGTTTGGAAAATTGCACAGTATAAATCTATTTTAGTATACCTCAACAATGTAATTATGATCAGTGGAAATGGCCATGACATGGGCCCTTTAAATAAATATGGCCATTCTATTCTGTCAAAGGCTTTCTCTGCATCCAGTGATATTGCCATTGCTGGGAGATGGAGGGAGTTAGCGCTAAATATCACCTGGAGCAGCCTTCTCATGTTATTAGCTGACTGGCGTCCAGCTGCAAATCCTACCTGGTCTAGATTCACTAGGGATGGAATAACTTCCTCCAAACGAAGGGCTAGGATTTTCATGGAAGCCTGCCTGCAGTCGCCAGTCTCAGGACACCTCCACTCTGAGGACACCTCCACTCTTAGGACAGGAAGTGCATGCACGCTAAGAATTACAAAATAAAATTGCCACTATCAGTACAGCGGCACTTTCCGAACAGGAAATGCACGCAAATACGAAATAAAATCGTACTGACACTTATTATATACATATGTATATGTATATGTATATGTATATGTATGTATATATATATATATATATATATATATAGCGCACCACTTTCCGAACAGGAAATGCACGCTAATACCAAATAAAATCGCACTGACACTTATTATATCTATATATAGATATATATATTTATATATATATAAATAACGACATCTTGTATTTTAGTTACACCCGCTAGACAACAGTGGAGGGTTCGAGAAACAACCGTGTTTGCCGGGTGCACCGCGGCGGAGGTGAGCTCTGTGTGCTAACAGCTAACGGCTGATGTTTTGATTTTCTGTTTCAACGTCAGTGACGGCAGGCGGAGAGCCTCACCGCTGATTGGCTACCGCGTGAACGCGCCATGCGAATTTGACGCTCGAGTTGAAAAAAGTTGAACTGGAGCGGCCCCCTTCAATCGCCTCAATCACACTGCGTCATGCGCATCAACCGCGTCATGCGCGCCGCCGAGGCGAATTTGCATCTGTCCGCTAACAGCTAACGACGACAGCTAACGGCTAGCAGCTACCGACGACTAACAGCTAACGGCTAACGACGACAGCTAACGGCTAGCAGCTAACGACGACTGACAGCTAACGGCTAGCAGCTAACGGCTGACTTCTTCCATCTGTTAATATCCAACTGTTAACCCTTTTTTTTTTTTTTTTTTTTTGGGTGCCAGAGAGGAGGGTCGGCCAGACGGTCGACCTCGTGTGGATCCTCTCACTATTTCACCTACCTGTTTTTGATCGTGGACAGGACGACCCTTTTGAGCTTTTTCCGGTGCCTGAGAGGAGGTTCGACCTCGTGTGGACACTCTCGCTTTTTCACCACCTCGACGGCAGTTTCGGACGTCGCCCACGTTTTCATTGGCGCCTGGGTGGCGTACTTCTGGACCCCGTCTCGCCTCGACAGTTTCGGACGTCGCCCATGCTTTCACCGGCACGTGGGTGGTCGCTTCGGGACCCTGTCTGGCCTCTTCCCTCGCCTCGGCAACAGCTTCAGACGTCGCCCACGCTTTCATCGACGCCTGGGTGGCGCACTTCTGGACCCTGCCTGGCCTCTCCTCTAACCGCGGCTCACGGTTCGCCTCGACGGCGGCTTCGGACGTCGCCCACGCTTTCATCGGCGCCTGGGTGGCGCACATCTGGACCCCGTCTGGCCTCTCCCCTGTCCACGGCTCCTTCCTCCCGGGGACTTCGTGCCCGCCGCCGTTGTGCCCTCACCTGCGGCCGGGCAGCGCTCCTTCCTGCTGGGGGCCACCGGGATATTCACGCCCATCCCCACGTCGAAGCACAGCGACCCAGCTTTCTAAGGCTGGCGGATGTTGTCTTCATCCCAGCCCTCGCCTGCGGCCCCACCCTCCTCTGCCCCTGTGGTGCTTCCTCCCGGACGCGAGGATTGTGTCCATGGTTGAATTCTGGTAGGGCTTGTGTAGTGATCACTGATTTACATAATTCACTCATAGAACTACAGGTTGGGGGTATTGTTTCCGCACGGACATATATGTTGTTGACTGTACTTATTGTGTGCCCTCCTTACTTCTTCCTCTTTGCTTCCCGGGCTTCAAGCCGGCAACATGTGGTTTTCTGCTGCTGAATAAAACCAACTTTGCACCTTCGATGCACCGCCTCCGACTCCCTTCTCTCGGCACTACAGCGGCATGTTTAGGAGAATGTGTTTGGTTGGTTGTAAGAGAGACGCGTCATGTGTTAATGTATCATTGGTGCTCGAGTTGACTGCCTGAACTAGCTCGCAGGCTTCGTCCCATTTTTGACACTTATAAACATTTATATCTGGCTCTTGAGGGCTCTGAAGTAAAGTGTACTTCTTTCGTAGAAATACATTAATGATATATTCTCAACTTATATTTTTTTATTTATTCCTGTATTTATTTCCACATTCATTTATTTCTGTTTTTTTCACATTTATTTATTCTTGTATTTCTTCATTCCTGTATTTAATCTGTATTTATTTATTTGTTACTTATGTCATGTTCTGTCCTCCATAAATCGGCTTTTCCATATTGAGTAAATGCATATTTTTATCTTTTTTCATCTATTTCATGCAAAAGCATTTACATCTAAAAATGATAAATGTATTAATGTGGTGAGACCAGTAGGGGAGGTGTTAGAAGGGATTTTGGGAAGTTAATTAATATTGTTGTTCTATTATGTTTCGGAGTTGCACTTTGTAGACGGTTCCTTCCCACCACTTACCTTCCAATCGATTATTCTGAGTTTGACCCGTTCTGCCTTTTTCTCTTCATCACAACAGTTGCTTTCAGTGTTCAGGCTTCGATTGGTCAGGGCTGCTTGTAGACGGAAGTCGTTTTTTTTTTTGTGTTTCTTTACAGATGTCTTCGCTGTCGGATTAATTCATACATTGATGTCAAACTCCTACAGTCAACAGGTAATTGACATGTTTTACTTTCACGTCAGTTCAGTGTAATGTCATGCGTCTACTTGACCGATAATGAGGTTGTTTTAGCTCTATCGGCTGGTTAGCATAGCAGGCTAATTTCAGCTAGCTTGGCTACAGCTGGTCTACTGTATAAAAGCGGGTTGACAAATGTTAGCTAGTATTAGTTATTTGATGTTGTTGGCACTTGCTGCTAAATGCAATTGGAAATGTTGTGTTAATACTGACTTGGGTGGCATTCCCATGTTTAAAGTGGTGTTTTAATAAAGCTCTTATTGGGCAATTGCAGTATGTTTTTCAGTTATTTCATTTGAATGAGTTTGTTTCTTTTATCATTCATTATCAAACTGGATTGAGTGGTCTTAATCTTAAATTAAGAGTCTTTTCATGATTGGAACCACCTTAAACTCGCAAAGAATACGTGTCTGCCTTGTGTATGAATTGTTTTGTGTTAGTTAACCACTGCACTAACGAATTTGGAAACCGTGAAGTCATTATGATTGTTGGATTATGAATAACATTCTGGACAGTCTGATTTTTTAGCAAAATAAAAAAAACACGATGACCATCAAACTAAAGTGCAATTCAATTAAATTCGACCCACAGGTTATAGCTATTTTATAAACCAGTAGCTAAAGTTATGACTGTTTTTGAATGACTTAAGGGGCTGTAAGGTGTCTGCAAACACAGCTAATCCAAGTGAAAGTGAATATTATCTTTGTGAATGAGACGGTGTGATAAGGGCTTGGACCTTCAGCCTGTCATGTGACCAGGAACAGTACAGGAGTCATTCTACAGGCCTGTTATGGTCACATGATGAGGGGGAGAATGTGATGCTTCCACTTCTGCTTCCCCCCCCCCCGTTAAAATGATCTAAAATGGCATGCATCGCAAACTCAAAGTCTGTAGCTTTCTACAAAGGGTGAGTCTAAATGAGAATTGAATGGGTTTTTTTTTTTTTTACAAAGGTTAGTATAGCTAAATAAACAAGGAATCTGACTGTGGCTGTAGGGTGGGATTATCAGCTGACTGTAACTAATCAATCAGCTGTTCATATCCTAAATTCATGGGTCAAGCAGAGGTTAGATAGATAGATAGATAGATAGATAGATAGATAGATAGGAGACAATTTCAATTCGAAATTCATAGGGTCCGTACAACCAGAAGAACTTTTTGTATCTCAGTCTGTGGAGTGAGACTATGGAACAGTGTGAATGTGGAGCTCAAGCGATGTCCAGACATTAACCAGTTCAAGAGGAAATACAGAGAAATTATTTTCTCGAGGTACAGGGTAGGGGAAGGTGTTTGACTATGTGTATGTGTATATGTGTGAGTATGTACGTGTGTATGTATATGCATATATATATGTATGTGTCAATCAACAGGTAAAGCAGATTAATAATAATAATAACAATAATTAATAATAATGATAATTATTGAAGATTATAGATTATAAATAAATCATTTAGGGACAAGGGGGTGAGATTAAATAAATTATACTTCTTCTCACTCCTTTTCGAACACTAGATGTGGGACTGTTTATGTTGCTAATGCTGTTGTTGTTGTTGTTGTAAATGTCGTTTTTTGTTTTGATTTCTCTTACATGAATATGCACTGCAAAAAAATTAATAATTGTAATTATTTATTTTACTTGTTCGAAATAAAATGTATCAATCAATCAATACTTTATTGATTCCAAGTTAGGTACATTATTTTGTTGCAGCAGCAGTGTGTTCAGGCATTCAAATATATACATTGGAATAAAGTATCTATACTATATTTCACACATCTTCTAATATTATTATAACTGATGCATTAATGGTAAACAGTAACACTCTGTTGGAAGTGATGTTATATTACAGCTAGTATGGGCACGATCACATGAGTGAGCTTATAAATCTTACATACCGGCTGTTCTGTTTCATTACTGCTGCTGCGCTGTTTAGTGATTGAGTTTACCACAGTTGCATTTTCCTTTTAGCTCATTCTCATGTTTGCCACCTTGTTTTATTTCCTGTCAAATTCCACTTTTATGTTTTCATATTGACAATGTTGTGATGTAGGTAAATGTACATTAGGTTTAGTCTGGCTTACATTTAACATCCTATATACTATATGGGTTTCCTACATTTATCTGAACGGTGGTCTCACTCTTAGGGCTGCACGATTTGGGGAAATAATCTAATTGCAATTTTTCTGACAGATATTGCGATTCGATTTGCGATATTTGTTTGTAAGCGACCCAACGGAAGTTTATTGTAAAATGCAGCCATATCTCCGCCTAGGAAGGTCGTATTAACGTGCTCCCGTCTCTAGCACCCCGCAGCCCGAGCTACGAGTGAAAGAACTAAACTTACATGAAACGTCCGTTGGGTTGCTTTAAAGTCAAGCTTCAGTTTAACATTCACCCTGTCATAGATGTAGAACATGTGATGGAGCATTACTAACCTGACTCAGGTGCTTTGTTTCACCAAACCATCTAGGAAAGCTCCACTGGAAGCCATTTGGAAAGGGCAGGTACTTTCAAAAATACTTGGCAGGTGATTGGATCAATCTGTCTATCACCTTCTATCATGGGCCACTTCTGATTGGTTAACAATGCTTGGTACATGTGGAGCACAGCACTTCTGATTGGTGTGGATGACTGACACACAAGAAGGGAAAAAAATAAAGTTTTAAAAAAGTTTGCTTTTAAATCGCGATTTCGATTTAAAATCGATTAATTGTTCAGCCCTACTCACTCTATAACTGCCTTTTAACCAATTACACAACCTGTCATTTTAAAAGGTAAATTGTCAACACCACACATTGATTAATGATTTGCTAGAAACAAACATCATGAAGCTGCAATCTGGTTTAGTTATAGTAAAGATTATTGAGAGAAGGGACGGTTCACATTTAAGAATACCTGTGGTAAAAATAAGAATAAAACACAAATGAGCCGATATGTAATTTCTGGCTTTCTTACATGTACTTGCATCATAGCAAAAATAAAACAGTGCATGCAGCAGAGTTCCCGGTCAAAATGTCCGTTAAAGTTTAAATCTTCTATATATCTGAGACCTGTAATATATTGATGAAAAACAGTATAACCTTTAATATGTTTTCTGTGTTGCCTCTGCAGCCGGAGCAGCAGTGAGATGGCTGCTGATGATAAGTCCTCGTCTTCCTCCACTACGGATTGGAGCGTGGATCCGCCCATCATCTCGCCAACAAGCCCCTCCCACCTCACACACTTCAAACCACTGACTCCAGAGCAGGACGACCCTCCCCTCCGCTCGGCGTACAGCTCGTTTGTCAACCTGTTTCGCTTCAACAGCAAAGGTCAGGGAGACACGCTCTCAAGCGTCTTATCAAAGTTATGGATAGAGCCATATTTTGTTTTGCTAAATGGTGTTTTTCTGATGTGTTGACAATGCATTATATTGGTTAGGTGTCTTCAATTTCTGACATTGTGACAAAATTAACACAACAACATCAACAACCCCACAATATGGGCCTTAGTGCTGTCACAAAATATATATTGTTAGTCTAAAGAACTGGAACTTGTCACAGTAATTACTCTTAGGAACTGCAGTCGCTATAATTCATGGAATGTAAAGACTTAGCTTTGGGCTACATCTACGACCCATTTCTTTTTGCCTATACCCATTTACATCTTGAGAAATGGGCACGATTAAAACTGTGCCTCCTTAGCAATTTCCTTTTTGTAATGTAATGATGAATGTTCATGTTCATTCAACAGATTAGCTTATTACATAATAACATTATTATTATGTTAACTGATGCGTGGAGCTAAGTTTGTACCATGACTTTTGACATAATGGATTCATCTGGTGCTGGTTGTAATATTCCCCCACTTCAATCCAGGGATCCAATATTTAAAAAAAAACACATTCAAATACCAATTAGTTTTTTACGCATATTTATAGGAATTAAAAGTTTTGTACAATTTTTTTTGTTGGCCTTTTCTTTTACAAACTGGCAGAGGTGTGGACTCGAGTCACATGACTTGGACTCGAGTCAGACTCGAGTCACCAATTTGATGACTTTGGACTCGACTTGACAAAATCACAAAACACTTGCGACTCGACTTGGACTTGAACACCAATGACTCGGGACTTGACTTGGACTTGAGCCCTCTGACTTGAGGTGACTTGATACTTTAATTCAGAGGTCTCCAACACGCCGATCGCGAGATGCCGCTCGAAGAGCAGACTCCCGTCGGGGAGAGCAGAATCTCCAGCCGCTCCTACTCTTGCTGAGAATCCATGCAGGCAGGGGCGGGACTTTATTTTGCTGAGCCACCATGCGGCCAATCATATGTGAGGACACACTAGGATCATACCATTATGTGAAAGAAGGGTGGGGGGCAGACGCTCCAAAGACAGCAAGTGTAGTGGTACAGGCCAGCTACAGAGCCACGGGGAGACGGGGAGACGGATTTAAATGCAAGCGCGTCGGAAGAAGTCAAGAAATTTGCGAAAACCCAAAAAAGAAGCAGCATCTGGCTGCATGTCAATGATATTGGAGAAAGCAAAGCTGAGTGCAGGATTTGTAAAATGAAAATAACCTTCAGAGCAGGGTTTTGTTTTGGTAACCACTCAGGATTTATTGTCAGAGGTGGGAGAAGTTCAGATCTTGTACTTGAGTAAAAGTACCAGAGTGTAGGAATACTCCGTTACAATAAAAAGATCCTGCATTCAAAATGTTACTCAAGTAAAAGTACAAAAGTATTAGCATCAAAATATACTTAAAGTACCACCTGCAGAGGGATCTAGATTCAGGTGTTCTTTTCCCCATAGAGACGCCTCGCTGCACATTATCCCTTGCATAAAGATAGGTTGTGGGTCCCTTATAACATGTTGTACACGGTGGAAATAAACATTCTGGTCACCTTAACATCAGGGATCTTATCAATTAAACTCCTTCTGAATCAAACCGTCACGGTAGCCTAACCTTACTGATCCCTCTTAAAATAGAAAAAAAAACACGTTACTTTACCAGCAGAGAGAAAATGGATTATTAAATTATTAATGTGACTAATAAAGAGCAGTTTGATTATTAAGTATTATTCTGTTGATCGATGTCATTACATTTGTTGAAAAGCACATAATGACTTGTTTAAGACTCGTTTTGTCAAAGTAAAGGACTTGGACTTGACTTGAACTTTCCCATCCTGACTTGAGACTTGACTTGGACTTGAGCGCAAAGACTTGAGACTTGACTCGGACTTGAGCGCAAAGACTTGAGACTTGACTCGGACTTGCAAAACAATGACTTGGTCCCACCTCTGCAAACTGGCACAGTCTGGACATTTAGGGGATGTACGAGTGCTTTTTTTGTCATGTTTGACTTCATTTGGTAAGTCAGTACAGAGAGGTCATTTGTCATATGACCTCTCATACTCTTATTTATCTAAAACATTACCGTTTAAAATGTTTTTAAATAAGTAATTCCTGATGTGTGAAAGCTGCTGGGAAAGGGACCTTAGACCATTTCCTTATTCTTATGTTACTAAGTCAAAGGGCATGCTGTATATGAATCTTGTTATCAAACAGAACAAGTATTTCCTGTTTTACAAACTTCAAGTCCTTTTACAGTCTCCAAAGCAGAATAAATCTATAACACGACACCAAACATTACAGCATGTTAGAACCTCTCCTGAGCAGAGTTTATAGAGCAGTGTGCAAAAGTCACAGCCCATTACCCAGAGTCTCGTGAGGTCATGTGATCTGAGCTGCCTTCCAGGAAACAGTGAGCCACATGACTCGTGTGTTTGAGTCCCACCTCTGCACACACTCCTCCACACACACATCCACACACTCCTCCACACACACATCCACACACTCCTCCACACACACATACACACACTCCTCCACACACACTTACACACACTCCTCCACACACACATACACACACTCCTCCCTCCCTCCCTAGCAACACAGGCTCACACTGTGTGTGTGTGTGTGTGTGTGTGTGTGTGTGTGTGTGTGTGTGTGTGTGTGTGTGTGTGTCCTAGCATTACTATACTTGTGGGGCTCATGAGGGGAATCATTCATTTTAAGGTGAAGACTTGGTTAGGGTTAGGCATGTGTTGGTTATGGTTAAGGTTAAGGTTAGGATAAGTCTCCAGGAAATGCATGTAAGTCAATGTAATGTCCCCTGAAGTGATGTAAACATGGTGTGTGTGTGTGTAGAGGAGGGACGTCCTCCCTCATCGCTCTCAGAGAAGTCCGATGTGGCGTCGTCCCCCTCTCCTCAGTCAGAGAGGAGAAGCTGGTCCTCCAGTCCAACACACTCCCTCTACAACTCCAGAACACACAGGAAGCCAGAACACCTCCGACGCACCTCCATAGCCTCAGGTAACACACACACACACACACACTCACACTCACACTCACACTCACACTCACACTCATACAGTACAGATGTTGCTATTTGAGCGTTATGTGTCAGGTAAGATAGAAAAGATGTCTCCAGTTGTATTCTTATATTTTTGCAGCTTAAAGTTAGCCTATGTATAATAAACATCAAGTCTCTCAATATCTTGAGTGTGGTGAAATGAATGACGTCTTCATTTCTGTTTTTAAATCTGTAAAAATAGCTGTTTCTCGAACTGGCAAAAAACACAAGATTTGCATTTTATAGGACATTTATTTAATTCCATCTGTCTTTACAATGCTTTTCTTAAACTTTAGTGTATGAACAATTGGTGATTTTGTTTGTTTTGCTTCACACATGTATTGATTGTGTTATCTGTACATTGTAAATGGACAGAAAGCCTCTGTCTTGTAGTGTGTGAAGTAATCTGAAGCCACTGATAACAACAGCTTCAAAAGTGCGTAAGGTAACTGAAGTTAAATGTAAGAAATGTATTGCATTTCAACACTCTTGAAGCTCTTACATTTAGCTGAAGGAATGTTGTTAAATGACACTATATTTATCTGCATGAATAAATCCTGCTCTTTTAAAGAAAATGTAACAATAGGCGCTTTCACACCGCAGTGCTTTTCCCACTTTAGTTCCGATATAGTTCCGCAATGTTGCGTTCACACCCAAAAAATCTAAAATTAGTTCATCAGAACCTTTTTACCCCCTTTTCCGTCCCTGCTAGAGAGCAGGTACTTTCGTGGGAGAAAAAGGTTCCTATGTCTGATTGGCTGGGCGGATTGCAAACCACGCCCCGTAAAACTCCCAAAAAGTTTTGTGAAGCCGCCATTTTATTATCCTCGCATTAGCATTATTAGCATTAGCATTAGCCCCGCGCACCAACGGAGAGAGAATAACTTATGGCAACACCAAAGAAAACATGGGAGCGGTGGAGATGAGGAGGTGTCGGCGTTCTGGCGATTTACTCGGAAGGCTTCAGTAGAAGCAGCTGGGAGTCCCAGCAGCTTCTACTGAAGCCAGTCCCCAACTCCGGGTGGCAGTATACGCCGTGAAGTTGTTTGCGGCCTGCCAGTAAACCCAAAGCAGAAGAAGAAGAAGTGACGTCAGCGGCTTCATTTGCCTAATCCTCCCCCAGGAACTTATTCCGGTGTGAACGCGATCTGAACTTAGTTCATGAGAACTGAAGAGTTCTCATGAACTAAGTTCAGATGAACCTTTGTGGGAAAAGTACTTTGTCGTACTTAGGAACGCCGACACCTCCTCATCTCCACCGCTCCCATGTTTTCTTTTGTGTTGCCATAAGTTAGTCTCTCTCCGTTGGTGCGCTGGGCTAATGCTAATGCTAATAATGCTAATGCGAGCAAATAAAATGGCGGCTTCACAAAACTTTTTGGGATCAGAAATGGGAACCTTTTTCTCCCACGAAAGTACCTGCTCTCTAGCAGGGACTAAAAAGGGGGTGGAAAGGTTCTCATGAACTAAGTTCTAGTTCTGGATTTTTTTGGTGTGAACGCACATTTTCGGAACTATTTCGGAACTATACTGGGAAAAGTACTCCGGTGTGAAAGCGCCTAAAGTGAGGCTGCAAAATTAATCAAAATGTTATTGAAATCTTTATATGGTCCCGTTTAAAAAAAAAAAGTGTAAGATGTGGTCTTTTGCACAGAAGTCCTTGTATTCCACAAACTGTTTTTTTGTAAATCTTGCAGCCCGATAACAGGCAGAGAAGTTGCAATACATATTTTTCTTTCAGATAAATCTTCTGCAAAAAAGGAGCAGATTTTGTGATAATTTAAAACCATATTAATTATGATGTTTGGGGTGAAATGAAATGGCTGTAACGTGGTTCTCATGTCTTTTCTGATTACAGTGGACTGGCCAGGTGAGGGTCTTCTGCTCTGTGTGGTTTTGACTAAATATGCTTTTAGCTTGACTTTAACAACAGAGTGGCCTTAAACTGTTTTCAGTGCATGCGAGTGTTTTAATATCTGCATTTTTAATGAAGCGCTTATTATTAGTCTTTGGTTTGCCTTCAAGTGTTCCACTCAGGTACTAATAATAACAACTGGAATGATGTGAATGACTTTAAAGCTAACATTTCTATCCAACATGTTTTCGTTTATTTGTATTATTGCATCATGTGTTCTTTTATACACATTTGCAAGTTATTCCTGAGGTGTTTGAGTGCATTGTCAAATGTTTGTCCCTTAGCTTTCATGTTAAATGCAGGACTTTAATTATCACCTTACATTCAATATATATATATATATATATATATATAAAAAAGAAAAAGCATATTTGACAATGCAGCAGGACGGATAAGTTCATTTTTTTAATTCTTGTGTTTATGTGTGCTCTTTGTGTTTGTGTGTACATGCATGGTTTCAGATGGCAGCAGGAAGTCAGACACACCTCTCAGTAACCACGACCCTCGCACAGCGGTGCAGCTCCGCACTGCACTGAAGAGGCTGAAGGAGATAATGGAGGGGAAGAGCCAGGTATCACACCTTTACAATCACTTTCATGCTTCATTTGAACATCTGGACATGTCTTAAATGCATATATAGCGACAGCAGGAAACAAACAAAGTCGCTCAGAGGCCTGTTTGCTATTGTATGACACGTTATCAAAAAAGTACTTGCTGAAAAGTACAAATTGTAGTGAATAATAATGTAGTTTAATGAAAAATGAGATGATCAACTTATTTAGCGTAGACATAGACATTGTAATAATGATCAAAGCAATCCTAAAGCTTGCGTTCAACAAAAGATACAATGACCCTGTCACCCTCTCTTCCACACACACACACACACACACACACACACACACACACACACACACACACGTACACATACACATACACACACGCACACATACATACTTACATACATACATACACACACACGCACACACACACACACACACACACACACACACACACACACACACACACACACACACCTCACGCAGGTGAACAGGAGTACCGCCCATAACCATGTGACCCAAACCAACCAACCCATTGCGATCAAACAAATATCTTATAATAATAATACAAACCATTACCCAAATATAAACTAGTACAAAACTAATTTGTCTTAAAACAAAATGCATTACTTTGTACGTTTCATGGCTCCTACAGCATATGTATAACCATTGGCTCAGCAGTAAACACATGTATTCTATATTGTGAGCCATAAAGCAGTGTCCTGTGATGTGTGTGCTCCTCAGGACAGCGATCTGAAGCAGTACTGGATGCCGGACAGCCAGTGCAAAGAGTGTTACGACTGCAATGAGAAGTTCACGACCTTCCGCCGCCGACACCACTGCAGACTGTGCGGACAGATCTTCTGCAGCCGCTGCTGCAACCAGGAGATCCCCGGGAAGTTCATGGGCTACACGGGTAGGAGACAGGAGACAAGATTCAAGATTCAAGATTCAGATTCAAGGCTTTTATTGTCATGTGTACATAGCTACAGTGTAGATATGTCAATGAAAGTCTTAGGTCACAGGCTCCTCCAACAGTGCAACACAATAAAACGGATAAAATACTTAAAATAGTGCAAGTAAATACAAATAAAATAGAATAGAAATAGTGCCAAGTGCCATATTATCAAATTAAAAGCAGAATAATAAAAGCCCAATGGGGGGAAACAGGGTTGGATAAACCTCTTGTGTCAGTAATATAATGTGCATTTCAAATGATTACATTTAGTTTGTCTAATTAAAAAAATTCTACAACAAAATCGTGCAATTTTAAATGTTTGGTGTCCAGGTTTACTTATGTAAAGTCCTATTGGATGGTTTTAGAAACTGTGTGTGTGTGTTAATGTCTCGACCCCCAAAACTAGTTTTCCTTCCCAATCAGAATCAGAATCAGAATACCTTTATTAGTCCCACAAATGTAAAGGGAAATGTACATTGTTACAGCAGAAAAGAGCTAAAGACAGCTTAATGTTACCTAAGTAGCATGCATAAAGCAAATATTAAAGATACAAAAAAAGATTATAATTAAAAACAGTTCTGAGGATTTAGCAGCCAGGTATATATTGCACATTTATTAACGGTATATATATATATTGCACATATTGCACATAGTTGGTGGTTAACAACAATGGGTGTGTACATATCTGTATGTGTCAACTCTCTTTCTTCTACCCTCTTCTCCCAGGAGACCTGCGGGCGTGCACGTACTGCAGGAAGATCGCTCTCAGCTACGCTCACTCAGCTGACTCTGGAACCATCGGAGAGGATCTGAGTGCCCTGTCTGACTCCCCCTCCACGGTGTGTGTGCTGGAGCCCAGCGAGCCTCGCACCCCTGTGGGGGGGCGCAAATCCAGCAGGAACATATTCCTCGAGGAGGACCTCACCTGGCAGAGGTACACACAAAAAAGCTTGAATCAGCTCATGTACACCAAAAAGATCAAGTTCATATTAGTGATATATCTAGATTGAGTGTGACTCTGAATCAGAATCAGAATACCTTTATTCGTCCCACGAGGGGAAATGTATATTGTTACAGCCGAAAAGAGCCAAAGACAGCTTAAAGGTGGGGTAGGTAATTCACTTCAGAAACACTTTTTGTTATATTCCATGGAATGCTCTTAACATCCCGATAGCTATGAATACATTAAATGCTTTGACAATAAATACATAATAAAATGTCATCTGTGGAAGCCGTAGTACTGTAAAAAGTACGACCAATCATCTGAGCCGGCCCGGCTAAAATAACTGGATGGCCTACCTGCCTGTCAGCCTTCCATCTGTGCACAAACTTATCTCGTGCCCTCATTGGTCATGTGCGCGTTCGTAAGTCTGAAGGAAGGGGCAGATTTTTTCCGGTTGTGTACTTTCAAATTCTAGCGCACTCGAGCTGGTTTCTCCATTCTTACCTACCCTACCTTTAATATTACCTGAGAAGCATGTCCGGCAGTGGCTCAGTCAGTAGGGGCTTGGACTGGGAGCTGTAGGGTCGCCGGTTCAAGTCCCCGAACAGACCTAAATATGGAGTGTGGACTGCTACTTGGAGAGGTCCCAGTTCACCTCCTGCCCTGCCGTGGTGCCCTTGAGCAAGGCACCGGACACCCCCCTTCCCCCCCCACTCCCATTGCTCCCCAGGCACTGTACAATAGCTGCCCACTGCTCCTAGTACTAGACTCCTGCTACTAGGATGGGTTAAAAGCAGAGAACACATTTCACTGTGTGTGCCGTGTGCTCTGCATGTGGGACCATTAAAGAGGGTTTCATCCCTCCCTATTCTATTCTATGCATAAAACAAAATATTAAAGATTTAAAATAAATTATAGTAAAAAAAGTTACACAATTTACAAAAAACACATCCTGTAACAGTTCTGAGAATTTAGACCCGATTGCTGAAAATGTGAACAAAATTATCTTGCCAAAATATAATCGTGTCAGCTCAGATGTAATGCCTTACTTGTGGGACAATGTAGTACTTTATCACAGTATCTCACATTAAGTTGATGATTGTGGTGAATTTCTATGATTGGGATAATGGTGAATATCCTCTCATTAGTGAATTGAAAAAAGCTGTCTAGATTACTACCACAGAGTACTTTTCCCTTTTAGTTCCGATAGTTCCTGGGATTTTGCGTTCACACCAAAAAGAGAACTTATATGAGAACTTTTCCCCCCTTTTCAGTCCCTGCTAGACAGCAGGTACTTTCCTGGGGAGAAAAAGGTTCCCATTTCTGATTGGCTGGGCGGATTGCAAACCACGCCCCGTAAAACTCTGAAAAGTTTTGTGAAGCCGCCGTTGTATTTGCTGGCATTAGCATTATTAGCATTAGCATTAGCCCCGCGCACCAACGGAGAGAGAATAACTTATGGGAACACAAAAAAAAACATGGGAGCGGTGGAGATGAGGAGGTGTCAGCGTTTACTCGGAAGGCTTCAGTAGAAGCTGCTGGGAGTCCCAGCAGCTTCTACTGAAGCCAGTCCCCAACTCCGGGGACTTCCGGCCGGGGACTTCGGGTGGCAGTATACGCCGTGAAGTTGTTTGCGGCCTGCCAGTAAACCCAAAGCAGAAGAAGAAGAAGTGACGTCAGCGGCTTCATTTGCCTAATCTTCCCTCAGGGAACTTATTCCGGTGTGAACGCGATCTGCTCTTTAGTTCCATGGGGGTACTAAGTGCTGGGAACTAAGTGCTGGGAACTAAGTACGGCAAAGTACTTGGTGTGAAAGTGGCTCATGTTGCTAGTTATTTTAAGACCTTAATCTTTGCAGGGTTGCCTTATGTTTTATGACACATTTAATTTAATACAAACTTTTCTTTCTGAATTCAATGTGAGCGATTCCAGTATGTTTTAGTGCCATTTTAAGAGATTTTGATCATATTCTGATGATTGTAATGTGTGATGATCTGGGTACAAATCATGAATCGCAGTTGTTTTGGCCAGGATAATCGTGACATAAATCTTCAAGTCGTCCCATGTCATCGTGTACTGTACCTCCACCCATCATCTCTGTGAACCTCCAACCAAAATCCTGACTTCACATCTTGTTTGCCTACAGATTTGTTTCTTTGTCAAATTATGATTCTGCTCATGATCGAAACACACCGCCCTAGTTTCTCATCCTGCTCTTTAAAACATGTGTGTGTGCTTTGTGTGTAACTGAACCCTGTGCATGGTAAAGTCTCATCAAACAGAATCCTATCATGGCATGTTTGATATGCATCTGTCAGCCATGATTAAGAGGAGGTAATGGCTGTTAAGTAGCAGAGTAAGATGTTAAATCAATTTTGTTGCTAATCTTTGACATATCCAAGACTGTGATGAAAAAATCCCCAGATATGTATTATATGGAAAATAACTAATTTTCTCAGTTTTTCTCATTAAAACAACAGCGATTTAATGGCATTTAAAGGGTTAAAATCCTGAAAATGATTACATATTTGGTATTTTGGATTAGGACTGAAGTTGCTTTAAAGATTGAACCCAAAAAAGTGGTGGAACAAATATTTTTATATAATGTTTTTATCAAAATGTTTGGCAGTGGACATTTTTGTCCCGAATGACTAATTAGGGTAGTGCATTTGAATGATACCGGAGGGATCAAGTAAGATGTAAAGAAAGCACTCGTGCAGTGTGGGAAAACTGTATTTTATAAGTAAGGGATAATGTGCAGCGACGCGGTCATTATGGGGAAAAGAACACCGACAGGCAGATCAGGAGCCCGACGCGAAGCGGAGGGATCTAGATCTGCATGAAGGTGTTCTTTTCCCCATAATGACCAAGTCGCTGCACATTATCCCGCTTATTACATGGCCACATTCTCAGCAAAGTAATGATATGATTCCCACTATTAATTGAAATGCTTTTATGGATTTAGAAAATGATTTTATTGATTTAAAAAATAGTTGTATGTATTGATTTAAATTGACATGCATCCGCTAAGGAAAATAGTCCGTTGTTACCGTTTGAAAAAAAAAACGTAGCAACACAACGGCAGGAAGGCGGAGCTTTTTGATTACAGATTTGAAAACATCGTTGCTTGCTTTAAAAGTAGCACAATTCATTATGTCAAACCTTGGAAAGTATCTAGATATCCCTGCCCTAATGCCAAAGTAACTGGCAACTGAATATGTGTCGCCGTTTGATGTCTATGTCTGGACCGCTGCGTAAAAAGGAGGGTTTCTGCCCCGTTACTTCTCCGCTGTTTTCTTGTCGCTCTTGTCTTGTCAGTTAGAAAACTGTATACTGTACACAGTTCAATCGACCGGACTTGTTTGTGCAGATGTGAGCGTCCTTAACAACGGTCAATAAGTCCTTGACAGCGGTCTGTCTGTTCTGGATTAACAACGTGTCACGTGTTCTGAATTGACCAATCAGAATCGAGTATTCAACTAAGCCATGTAATAAATCTTTAATAAAGCATGACTGTTATAAATTATACTGTTATAAGGTCTGATATAATCTTCCTCTTTAAGTCACGTTCTAACTAATAGATTGCATTTTTTGAAGATGTCATTAACCATGCACACAACGCCTTGCAGTGTTTTTTCTGCTTTTTCATATTGGTGTGCATCCTGCTTATTTCCTCTGTCAACCTGCCTCAAACGAAATCTGTTTCCTCTCTCTTTCTCCTGGCATAGAAAAACTCCTATTGGGATGAGAAAGAAGTGAGTCTCGCTTGTTTGTTTTATTTATTTTTCACATCTGTCTGAGCTTTAGCTGTCTGTAAGTAGAAGCTTTCTCGCTCTTTAAAAACATCTGCATGCTCAAAATCACAGATCAAAATGTACACTTCCTAACAAAGATGAATGAATATTGTGTGTGTGTGTGTGTGTGTGACTGTGTGTGTGTGTGTGTGTGTGTGTGTGTGTGTGTGTGTGTGTGTGTGTGTGTGTGTGTGTGTGTGTGTGTGTGTGTGTGTGTGTGTGTGTGTGTGTGTGTGGTGTGTGTGTGTGTGTGTGTGTGTGTGTGTGTGTGTGTGTGTGTGTGTGTGTGTGTGTGTGTGTGTGTGTGTGTGTGTGTGTGTGTGTGTGTGTGTGTGTGTGTGTGTGTGTCAGTATGATTCACCAGGAGCAGCAGAGCAGCGGCCTGACTTCCAGACTCAACACGCTTCAGGAAGACGTCGGAAAATCACCTGCGAGGAAGAGGTAACTCTTTACTTGTGAAATACAGACGATAAAACAATGTCCATACGAGTCGTATATCTTTCAATCTAGTATCGATCCATTTGTTTTGTGTTCAATATGCCAGTCACGCTGAATACAAACAGGTTTAACACAGCTCATCTCGACACGGCTTCTCCAGACACGGTTTGCTACCGTCCCACACACCTGAATCTGATCACCAAGTCATTACATATATACACTCACTCACAAGTGAATGCTCAATCTTGTGTTCAATGGCAGAACTGCATGTTACATTAAACTTGTGCAGACACATACATTATGGCTAGCTTTATTTGAGTACAGTTATTGTGAAAGATCCCTGTTCATGTCCTCCTCAGGTCGGCCAGTGTGACCAACCTGTCTCTGGACCGCTCCGGTTCCTCCATCGTTCAGGCCTACGACAGCTCCGTCAGCCCCCCCTCCAGCAGGGCCCTGTCCGGCACCAAGAGCGGCTCCAAGCTGGACCACAGCGAGGAGGAGAGGAAGATCCTGCTGGTGCTTAGTCTCACATGTTCAACTCCTTGCATCATTCATTCATTTATCATTTAATAATTTAGTTACGGGGCCTTTCTCTGGCCCTTTGCTCTGTCTCTGCTTCTTATCCCAGAGGCTCTGCTGGGTCAGAAGCCTGTGAATCTCCCCTTAATTCTCCTGTCTGGACTCAAATACTATGCCTGTTAACTTGCTAAATTGAAGTATGCTGAACTTGCTGGCTAGTGTTGTTGAGCCGGGTAGGAGGGGCCACATTTGAATGCTATGTTTACAACAAAAAAGGACAAATCGATTCATTCTGCCTTTTTAAAAGAGCAGAAAAACATGACGATTACGTCCCCAAGACAGCGTGTCATGTAATGTCCCTGGCATTGAATTAATTTATCTAAAAAAGGGCGTTAATTGGTATTAAAATGTCTTCAATTCATCTTTTGAATTCTTTAAATTCTTAAGACAGGGGAAGTGGGTTATTATGAATCAATTATGAATCAATCTCTAAATAATCTACTTTTTTGACAATCATTTACCAAATACACTCAAACTTATGTCACAAATGTATGGATAGTTTATTTTAAAGAGTCTTACATGTATCTTTCTTTACACTGTACCAACCCTGTGATTTCGACATACTGCTGTTCTTGTTCTGCAGGACTCGTCGCAGCTGAAGGACTTGTGGAAGAAGATCTGCCACAACAACACAGGGATGGAGTTCCAGGACCACAGATACTGGCTGCGGACCTACCCCAACTGCATTGTGGGAAAAGAGCTCGTCAACTGGCTGCTGAGGAATGGCACCATCTCCACCAGGTAGCATCTCGCTGGAGAAACTTTTACGTTACTGTGTCGTGTTCATGGTCTTCGGAAGGATAGCCTGGAGTTATATGGAAATATGGTGATTTGTCAAGCTTAAGATCAAAAGATTGAAATAATTTGTACCTAAAGAATCATGGATCATACAGATAACATCTGGACCAATTAGCCCTTTTTTTTCTTTGTATATTCCTTTATAAAGATATATTTTTCATCCAATCGGTAGAATACGAACAGTAATTACCTAAAATAATGGATAACTGCAGCCTTATGTAGAAGCTGTTCTTGATCTTGTGTTTCACTTTTAGTATTTCCTCTTACTTCAATGAGTGTTTCAGGGCGCAGGCGAATCCATTTTTTGTTCAGTCTTATTTTCTCTTTTGTGCATTTCCCATTGCATTTACAATAGCTGCACCTTCGTTAAAAGCTGCTCCTGATCTTGTGTTTCACTCTCCCTCTTACCTTAATGTTTCTGTGTTTCAGGGCGCAGGCGATCGCCATAGGTCAGGCGTTAGTGGACGGCCGCTGGCTGGACTGCGTCACACAAAACGACCAGCTGTTCAGGGACGAGTACGCTCTCTACCGCCCCCTGCAGGTAAATCAGTCATTTGATGTGATGCAAAAAAAGCTTGACATTTGCTTCAACAAACTACAACTCACATGTTTATATTGTTTGATTGAACGGCGTCCTATGATAATACAAGAGTAAATATGACTATTATCTTCACCTGGCATATTGACATTTATTTATTAGGACAAACCCCTTGAGATGCACCATCTCGTTTTCAAGGGGGTCCCGACAAAAGCAATGTCCTACAGACATCCATGAACATCTCTTTGTTTGTCCTCCAGAGCACAGACTTCTCAGAAACTCCGTCTCCAGACAGCGACAGCGTGAACTCTGTGGAGGGACACTCAGAGCCGTCCTGGTTCAAAGACATCAAGTTTGATGACAGCGACACAGAGCAGCTGGCAGATGAGGCCGAGGACACCATGCCCAGTATGTATCACATGTTTAAAGGTCACCTATTATGCAAAATCCACTTCTTCATGTCTCTTCTACATCAACATGTGTCCCCTCTTCTTCATGTCTCTTCGACATCAACATGTGTCCCCTCTTCTTCATGTCTCTTCTACATCAACATGTGTCCCCTCTTCTTCATGTCTTTTCTACATCAACATGTGTCCCCTCTTCTTCATGTCTCTTCTACATCAACATGTGTCCCCTCTTCTTCATGTCTCTTCTACATCAACATGTGTCCCCTCTTCTTCATGTCTCTTCGACATCAACATGTGTCCCCTCTTCTTCATGTCTCTTCTACATCAACATGTGTCCCCTCTTCTTCATGTCTTTTCTACATCAACATGTGTCCCCTCTTCTTCATGTCTCTTCTACATCAACATGTGTCCCCTCTTCTTCATGTCTCTTCTACATCACCATGTGTCCCCTCTTCTTCATGTCTCTTCTACATCAACATGTGTCCCCTCTTCTTCATGTCTCTTCTACATCAACATGTGTCCCCTCTTCTTCATGTCTCTTCTACATCAACATGTGTCCCCTCTTCTTCATGTCTCTTCTTCATCAACATGTGTCCCCTCTGTGGAAAGAGATTCTGAAAGTGTCAGGAACAAAGATTCTCTCTCTTTTTGTCCTGATCCATTTCTATAAAAACCTGTCTGAAAATGAGCTGATCAGATTTTGGCCACTTTATGATGTCATAACGATGTTTTGTCTTGTGTAACCATTAGCCAATCACAACCAAGGTAACCCCCCCCCCCCCTTATCACCTGAATCTCCTCCTAGAGCACCATTGTGTTCTTTTTAACCAAATCTCTCTCAGAGGGGCGTGGGGAGGGGCTCCTTATTTTCATCTAAAGTAACAGACAGAGAATCAGCACTTTGGAAACAGGGCTGAAACAGAGGGGATTATGGGATGCTGCAATGATCTGTTTGGTGTTTCAGCCAATCAGAGACAGGTTCTGTATATATCTGAGACCTGTGATATATTGATGAAGAACAGTATAATAGGGGACCTTTAATGCTTTAATAAAACGTTTTTTTTTACACCTGCAGCTTTAATAGCTTATGTCCTTGCTCTTGGCACCGGACGCATTTTTAAAGAATCGTTGAGGTTTGCACTGTTGGTACACTTTGAGATCTGGGTTATTGTGATGGCATTTCTGACCTTTTTCTGAGTTTTTCCAGTAAGTTATTCCATAATAAATATAATCATTAGATAATAGTTTAAAAAAGCTCCACTTTAAACCCAAATTCAACAGTAAAACCAGCTGTATTACATTTTGTATTTTAACTGCACCTTTCTGTATTCAGTTACACCGTTTTACATATGATTAGATTAGATGTATTGTCATTATACAAGTACAACGAGAAGAGTAAAGCGACTCCTTTTAAGGTGCTATCAAAACATTCAGAATAGACAACATGCAGCATTCAAACATACATAAAAGAATGTGTATTTATATATGTATTTTTTTTTAAAGCTTGAATCTAGAATATATCACAGTGTCAGAATCAGAATACCTTTGTTAGTCCCACAGAGGGGAAATGGACATTGTTACAGCAGAAAAGAGCCAAAGACACTGTAGGGGTGGGCGATACCACAAAATCTGGATTCAATCCGATACCAAGTATTTCAGGGCCAGTATCGCCGACACCGACACCGATACTTTATAACAATACAAAGTGGCCACACATCACAGTTCGCTAAGTTTTCATTGACAGTAGTGAAATAGGTCCACACAACGATCCTCTTTCTCTCATCCATTGTGTGTGTGTGTGTGTGTGTGTGTGTGTGTGTGTGTGTGTGTGTGTGTGTGTGTGTGTGTGTGTGTGTGTGTGTGTGTGTGTGTGTGTGTGTGTGTGTGGTGTGTGTGTGTGTGTGTGTGTGTGTGTGTGTGTGTGTGTGTGTGTGTGTGTGTGTGTGTGTGTGTGTGTGTGTGTGTGTGTGTGTGTGTGTGTGTGTGTGTGTGTGTGTGTGTGTGTGTGTGTGTGTGTGTGTGTGTGTGTGTGTGTGTGTGTGTGTGTGTGTGTGTGTGTGTGTTCGCCTGTGTTCGACTGTGTTCGACTGTGTTCGACTGCACATAGTTTTTGATGAAATTGACGAGTAGAGGAGAGGGGGGAAAAAGTATAAAAGTATCGATCCTATTGGCTCTAGTATCGATATTTTGAAACGTATCGTAATATCGGAAGTATCGATATTTTGGGATCGATCCGCCCACCCCTAAAAGACAGCTTAATGTTACCTGATAAGCATGCATACAAAAATATTAAAGATAACAAAAAATGATAATAAAAAAAGGTAAGACAATTTACAACAAATAAAAAATAGTCTGTTCGTACTTTTGAATTCTATAAATGATCTGAACACTTCCTCCTTCACTTTGGGTTTCTGTGGATCACTGAGCTTCCTCTCTGTACAGACTCAGCGAGCCCCAGTAAGAGAACATCAGTCAGCAGTTCCCAGTCGGCAGTGGACAGTGACTCAGCGTCCTCCATCAACCTCAACATGGAGCAGAACAACGTCAACTTCCACATCAAGAAGCAGGCCAAATATCCTCATGTGCCTCCTGCCTCTGAGCAGAAAGGTAAACAACCCGTGATATATAATGTTGATTTACCTTATCATCATATTTAGTTAAATCTTTTTGCACAATGTAATAGCTGTAGAATAAAGACACCAGCAGCATTTGGATTGGTTCCCTATAAACGTCACTTTCACTTCGCTATTCTGTTCACCACCGAAAGAAGTGGTCTATTTTCACTTCAAATTCTACGTCCAGCATTTTGATCGTTTTAAATTCTTTTATATTTATCTCCTTTTGACATGTAATGGACAACAATATTTTGTATTACTGCCGATTTTTATTCCATATTTTATTCCTTCTTATTCCATTCCATTACAATGTAAATATTGTTATATCAGGGTGTCCGCGGGGTCTTAAAAAGTATTAAAAGTTGATAAATCAATTTAGCGAAAATTAACGCTATAAAAAAGTAATAAACGGCATTTTCCAAGGTATTACATTTTGTAGTTTGTTTCCAATAAGTATATAAATTGTCCAAAGAGGTTGTATTCTACAGTTTGCCTGAATGTAATCATTGCGTAGGTGTGTAGTGTGATTCTGTGTAGTTTATTTATGGCATCCCGTTGGATTTGACGTCATCTGAACAGGACATCTCACGCTCACTGCTTGATAGCGCGCCAAGGTCCGTTTACGCCGGTTGTTAAACAACATCGTTATGGGGAAATGCAAGTCTGCGTCCAAATGGTTGGAAGATAAGGAGGAAGGACAATCAATACTGTATATAGTCAATGTGAGGTAAAGTGTGTCGCCAAGGTAACCGGTTAGAACTCAAAGTGGCGATGAGGTCTTAAAATGTATGGAAAGGGTCTTAAAAAAGGTCTTAAAAGGAATTACATCTGACTTCAGGATTCCTGCACATACCCTGTATATATATATATTATATATATATATATATAATATATATATATATATATATATATATATATATATATATATATTATATGTTATATTTTACTATATTTTTATTTATTTTTGATATTTTTCTAGTTCTCTACCTGTGTTTTTAATTCTTGTTTTTATGCACCATGACATCAAGTCAAATTCCTCGTACGTGTAAACCTACCTGGTAATAAACCTGATTCAGATTCTAAAGACTTCTTACCAGCCTACAGCTGCAATTCAATCAGGAGAGACGGTTTTGATGTAAGAATATATATTTATTGCCAAGAATACTCAAATGAATGTAATGGAGTTTTGGCGATTAGGCCCCGTTGTGCAGGAGTATCATGCGGGAGGGGAGAACCGATCCGATGAAACCCCCCGGGGTCTAGACCCTGGTGGTGGTGAATGGATGGTTGGGGTCGGTCTGAAGAGGAGTGGCTTAGCTTGACCCTGGTGGTGGTGAATTGATAGTTGGGTTCGGTCTGAAGAGGAGTGGCTTAGCTTGACCCTGGTGGTGGTGAATGGATAGTTGGGTTCGGTCTGAAAGGGAGTGGCTTAGCTTGACCCTGGTGGTGGTGAATGGATGGTTGGGGTCGGTCTGAAGGGGAGGGGCTTAGCTTGACCCTGGTGGTGGTGAATGGATGGTTGGGGTCGGTCTGAAGGGGAGGGGCTTAGCTTGACCCTGGATTCAGAGGGACAGGAGGTGAAAAGGGGTGGAGGAGGGTGGCGTCGAATCACCTGAAATGACAGCTGTCAGAGGGGGAAGAGCAGATTTAAAAAGGGTTAGCGGAGCGCTATGATAGGCTTGTGAGAATAGAGCGAAGTGATTGGTTAAGCTGGGGAGTGACGCCCCCGATCACTTATTGAGAGGAGAGAGAGTAGTAACATGGACATAGTAAATTAATGAGAAAAGACGGTCTTCCTGGTTGAACTTGCGCTGAGCTTCATTAAGGCAGAAATGTAATCTTAACAAAACTGTGTGGAAACTTCAAATAAACTGCACTTTTCTTGTTATCTTGTCACAAATTCTTGACTCTATTTAGTTTTTAAAGAATCCCAACTACATACAGAGATCATTAACACTGTAAAACAACTGAACACTTACAGATATAACTTATAAATCCTGTATCTAACAAGCCCTCTCTTCTTTCAGCTGAGTATCTCTTGTCTGAGGACGGAGGACAGAATATCGTCATAAGTGATGCCTTTATCAAGGGTAGGAACTCTGCACTTCCTTATTGATTTAATCAGATAATATATTACATTTCCCAGCTAGTGACACAGACCTCCTTCTCTCTCTGACCTTATCTCTCTGACCTTATAGAGTCTCTGTTTAACCGCCGTGTGGAGGAGAAGGCCAAAGAGATCCTGTTCACGCCTCTGGGCTGGCACCACAGCTCTCTGGACCAGCTGAGGGAGGAGAACGGAGAGAAGAAGGCCATGGAGAGGCTGCTGTGAGTGGAGAGAAACACGCTGTCTGTGACCTGAGTGTTTATACATTATAGCAGCAGTCCACTAGAGCTGGAAGGAGTGGATTTGTTCAATGTAATCTTATTTCAAACCAAACTATAGTAAGTATAGTAGTAAGAAAAGTCCATCAGACAAAACAAGGCATTTGGAGAAGTCATTTTGGCCTCTGGAAAATTGTATCAACAATCTTTTACACAAAAATAATCAATTTTAAGTTACAAAAGTAGGGCCCAACCGATATTAAATATGATAAATGATTCTCTTTCAGTCGAAGCTTATTGTGAAAATCTTATTTAGATTTATTTGATACCCATTTAGGTTGCTTAAATTGATAAAAACAAGCACTTGCTGTCTCTTTCTGTCGCTTTCTCCGAAAATCTGATGTGAAATACTTTTAGGGAACGTTATTTAAAGTTTTTTGTACGTCAGTACTTTGGTCAATGCAAACAAACATGTATTAATGGAAATATATATATATATTTCTTTTTCTTTATAATTTAACTTCAAACGTTTTTTAAGTTCTTAATAAAGGAGAAAAGAATCTCCATTTTTATTTGTCAGGTATTTCATTTAAACACAAGTTAACAAAAATAGGTATAACCATTTAGTTAATGTATATGGACTATACATTTATTAAATGACCAGAAAACTGGTAATTATAGTAATAATTATATCCGCACTTTGGATAACATGTCGTCTGCACAGAGATAATAACAAACAGTGAGTGTTCAAAAGGAATACATCCAACATGATAGATACTTTAGAAATCTCATTTGAAATGTTTGCATGGGCGTAACAGTATTTAAAAACGAGTTGTTGTGGCGATCCAGTACTCACAACAGGAAAGAATGAAACAGAGAGGAATCAATGAAACACAAACACAGAAATAGTTGAGATTAATCATTATTATTTAGTTGCGCACCACCAAACAACAATGGGGAAACATTACCTTGCTTCAACAGCAACCAATCGCAGAAATGCTCCCACGAACACAAGAAAACACAGGGGAGATATAGGTTTCCTAAATGACACACGAACATGTTCCCTAATCATGTTTAACGCACACACATTGTCAGGTCTCCTAAACTTGGACATGTTCCAGATGTCGAAAGGTCATCATCTCATGACTTCTTTAGGAGTCTTGCAGGATATGAATTGTCCAATTAACAAACTTTATATACGTCTGCACATGAACGCACATACATTTCTTTCATTAACTAACACTTAAACTGTATTATATCTAAATGTAGCCTCTTTGCATTTCCTCTGAGCTCGGCGTCAGCTCACTTAACGTAATAATTAGCAAAGAGACGATTCTATGGAAACTGTAATTCAATAACATACCTAGTTACTATGACTAGGTCCAAGATTGATATAACAGAGTGATTTAATATTATCCTCTCATCTAATCATCCACCTTGTGTACAGTATATATAGGATAAACATATTTTTTTATATATATTTGTATTATATATTTTGTATTGTATGTCTGTACACACAAACTGAAAAATTGACAATAAAGTTGACTTGACTTTTGACTCTGACTTTTTGACACCTCTCTTTGTGCAGCTCGGCCAACCACAGCCACATGATGGCTCTGCTGCAGCAGCTGCTCTACAGCGAGTCTCTGTCTCTGTCCTGGCGGGACATCATCGTGCCCGTCGTGCGGCAGGTGGTGCAGACCGTGAGGCCCGACGTCCGCAACTGTGACGACGACATGGACATCCGCCAGCTCGTCCACATCAAGAAGGTCAGGCTGCTTTCATAGGTCACTCTTTAGGGATTAAACATACTCAATGTATGTGCCCTGCAAACATCAACAAGGCTGTTAGAAAAATCTCACTGGTCCCCGTCTTGAGCTTCAATCTCAGGATCCATGTGTTTCTGATCCTCTCCAGAATGGAAGTAGTCATCACATACAGAGCATCAACTAGTTCCTGAACAGTGTCCTTCACATGCTGATATACAAGAGAGGGAGTTACACAGTCACAAGATGGAGGAATAGAAAGCAGTATTCAATGTTTACTTCAGATTAGCTCCACGTCAGAAATGATCATGCTTGTCATATGTCTATCTCCATAGAGGCTGAATCATCATGTTCATCACATAGCTATCATATGCCTAAAACAGTCCTGATGCTCTTCTAGGTAATCATACATCCTGTCATGTTCACAGCTACAGTTGGGATACCTTTGTTATCATGTGCACTCTGATATTGGAAGAGGACATTCAGGATTTTCCCAACAATGGCTAATAAGGCTGTGTGCTTCGGTTGGTTTCAGATTTTATTCCTGAATCTCCATTTTTCTCTTCAGATTTCAGGAGGCAAGAAGTTTGATTCGACGGTGGTAAATGGCTTCGTGTGCACCAAGAACATCGCCCACAAGAAGGTAAGGTCAAGTCCAAGTACACCTTCTTTGCCTCTTTTAAACCAGTAATCGTATCCAGAAAATAACCTGATTCTTGTGTGACCTGTGCTCAGATGAACCCCTACATCAAGAACCCTAAAATCCTGCTGCTGAAGTGCTCCATCGAGTATCTGTACAGAGAGGAGTCCAAGTTCTCCTGCATCGACCCCATCGTGCTGCAGGTCAGTTCGTCCCTCTGACTACTAGGGATGGGAATGATTAGTCAAATATTAGAATATTCAAAATTATTCAGGTATTCGAATATGAGTTATGAATCTTTTTATTGTATTTTTTTTTTATGGGAATACATGCATGGGCGTAACTGTTTCAGGTCTAAGTTGATTAAATATTATCAAATAGATTAATTAAATGTATATGACAGTGCCATTTATTAAAATATCTTAAAGGTCATGCTATTTGTAGGCAATAGCATAGGTCTCAGATAAATAAAAATATATAAAAAACATGTCTATGAAGTGTTTTGCTCAAAATACCAAACAGATCACCCATTCTAGCCATGCCTCATATCCCTCTATTTCACTTCCTGTTTCTAAAGTGCTGATTTGGGGTATAAAGCTTTAAAAAATAAAAAAGGAGGGGTCTGAGCTCATGCGGGACCCGGCAGCTACTGTCTAAACTAAATACTGCCGTGATGAAACGCCATATCATGGATTATCAAGGATTATTTCTGAAACAGTATGGAGCTCAAAGGCTTTCTCTCTTGCCGGTTATACCACAAGGTGAGTTCCTTTTTATTTCCTGCTTCTTCACACACATGCTCTCCAGTACAGGTTAGCTCTGAGTGTTAGCGATGCTAATGTAAACACTGACCATATTACGTCCAAAACAGTCGGGCATTGTTTCTGATAGCAACGTTTCTGATTGGGCCGTGGGTCCACATTTCAGATATTACGTCATATCGGACGCAAATCTGGATCAGCTCCGTTGTTCCCCCGTTTTTAGAGATTTGGGTACGGTGGAAAAGAGAGGGTTTTATTTTCTGACGCTGCGTGAGTTCCCTGACACACCGGGGACACATATTGATGTATAAAAGACATCAAAAAGTGCATTTTGCATGATAGGTCCCCTTTAAGAAAAATATCAAAGAAAACTTGGTTTGGTTTCTATATTTATTTGAAAAATTTATTTATTATAAAACATTTTTTAAAAATGTTTTTATAGGATTTGTAAATTCGGCTAATCGGTTAACCGTTTTTTTGGGGGTCGAATATTCGAATATAAATTTGCTTTCAAATACCCATCCCTACTTACTACACTTTGTACAACCATTTGTATCTTGATTTGCAGATGCCTCAGTTTACCAAAACTAAGAATGCATTTTCTCTGTCTGTCCCTCAGGAACGAGAGTTTTTGAAGAACTACGTGCAGCGCATCGTAGACGTCCGTCCCACGCTGGTGTTGGTGGAGAAGACTGTGTCTCGAATAGCTCAGGACATGCTGCTGGAGCACGGCATCACGCTGGTCATCAACGTCAAACCGGTCAGTGTAGTTTTACCGATATATACAGTATATATATTTTTTTTAAAACATGTATTTATTTATTCTTTACATTTATCACACTAAACAAACACAACTGAACATTCCCTAACATTAGACATATGGCAGATTACAAAATAATGCTATAAAATAAAATGTGTGAGTTACTAGAAATCAGTTTAAAGTACAGACCAAGAATATAATTACATTTGCAAATTAACAAAGTCAACAAAAATACAATAAAAGCACATCCACAAACGGAGCAGAGTACAGCTTACAATTCTCCAAATAGATTAACCATATTCAACATTTCCTCACAGTAGTTTAGTCTTTTCACTTTAACCTTCGCGGATACAAGCGGCCGAGATGGGTTTTCTCAGCTGGGTGTCCTTTAGGGATAAGGTGAGAAGTTCAGTCATCCGGGAGGGAGTCGGAGTTGAACCGCTCCTCCTTCGCGTCAAAATGAGCCAGTTGAGGTGGTTCGGGCACCTAGTAAGGATGCCACCTGGGCGCGTTCCAGGCACGTCCAGCTGGGAAGGAGACCGAGGGGTAGACCTAGGACCAGGTGGAGGGATTATATCTCTTGGCTGGCCTGGGAGCGCCTTGGGATCCCCCAGTCAGAGCTGGTTGATGTGGCCAGGGAAAGGAAAGTTTGGGGCTGGAACCGCTACCTCCGCGACCCGACCACGGATAAGCGGGAGAAGATGGATGGATGGACTTTAACCTTCCATAGCTTCTGCAATGCCCCAATTTTTTATAAGTTCCAAAAACAATTCCCAAATGGTGTAAAATTCAGAAGCTTTCTTCCTTACTATATAGAGAGGCGGAGTCCCTCCCTTTCCGGGGGACCTCCATGGGACCTTATTTCGGAAAAATTATGTATTGAAGTCAATGGGGAGAGAAAGATTATCCTTCAATTCCGTTTGAATTGTGCAACGAATTACACATATGAGGTTTGTCAATTTAAAAGATAATTTTGCAAGTAAAAAAAATGTGTCGCAAAACCGCTCAATGAACTACATCTCCCGTCTCGCACCACACACCAAGACGGCCGTCACGTTGGCACATTTCACTTCTTTCTTTCAGAATGAGGCGGAAAGTATTAAAAGAGGTGAAAATCACTCCAAGTCTGGGCATGTTGAGAGCTGTACATACACACAAGGGGAGTTAGTCGGTTCGTAAGAGCCAGCATGCGGGACCGGGACTCTGGGATTTGTAGTCTTTCTAGTTGCGTATTTTTCATAGTCTTATATTTCAGCAGTTTTACGACAAACTGTGACTTTTTTGACATGGAAATTATTATTTAAGATTGACAAACATCATATGTGTAATTCATGGCACAATTCAAACGGGATCGAGAGATAATCTTTCTCTCCCCATTGACTTCAATACATCATTTTTCCGAAATATGGTCCCATAGGTCGGAAGTAGATGGGCGGGACTTCGCCTCTCTATATGTGAGTTTCTCAAGAGCCAGACTCAAAGGTCAATTGTTTAACCAGTGGCCCAGGGAGGGGCAACCAACATTTTTCCAACACAAAGCAATTGAGCACCTGGCTTGTAGAAGGCATAGGTTAACCATTTTTCATTCGTTTTAGTGATATATTATTTGTACTGTCTATGTTGTCTTTGCCGTTGTTAATCATTTCTTATTTTCTTCTTTGTGATTTCAGCAAGTCCTGGACCGGGTGAGCCGTATGACGCAGGGAGACCTGGTGATGTCGATGGACCAGCTGCTCACCAAACCTCGTCTGGGAACCTGCCTCAAGTTCTACATGCAGCCCTTCATCCTCGCCAACAGTAAGAAACTCTCCCCCAATCTCAAAGACTACTGCTGTCAGATCAAATCAAATCAACATTTCTTATAGCCCCAAATCACTGGGGACCCCTCGAACCAGCTTTTCACCCCCCCCCCCCCCCCCGGAGCGGAGCAAGGCAACGATACTTAATATAAGAAGCAGCATTTTACGGCGCGCTATGCATGGGGCCGCCTTGAGGGGGTTTCCCGACATGTCATTGCAGTAGGGTGTTTCATGTTGTCGTTGCTGTGGACCTTCTTAATCTACCTTCTTTGGGGGCCCCCTTCTGGTCCGGGGCCCTGGTCATAGCATAATAATTATAAAAACATTATACAACAACATAAGTATTGCCATGTGATAAGAGCATGTGACAGAAGTGATGCTAATGTAGATGGACACTAGGTGATGGAAATTAGTTGACAAGGAATATAAAACTTCCTGTAGAGTAGAGGTACTGCCACTTGGTGAATTATAAATTATAAAAACTATTCATTTACAAGATAGTTATACTGTATACGTTTCCTATAGAATTCACTTGAATAAAACACATCAAATTAAACATTTCAACATGCATTCACTTTTTATTTATTGACAAATTCATGTTTTTACCTACAGTATAAATGGGAAAAAAAACACCTTAAATCCGAAAGCACGTTTTCTTTTGTTTTACTTGAAGGAAAATATATTTACAAATAAAAACCCGGCCCAAGAGAGAGAAAAGATTCTCTCTCATTTTGTCCTGATCCATTTCTATAAAAACCTGTCTGAAAATGAGCTGATCAGAGTTTGGCCACTTTATGATGTCATAACGATTTTTTGGCTTGTGCAACCATTAGCCAATCAGCAACCAAGGTAACCAAGGTAACCTTATCACCTGAATCTCCTCCTAGAGCACCATTGAGTTCTTTGTAACCAAATCTCTCTCAGAGGGGCGTGGGGAGGGGCTCCTTATTTTCATCTAAAGTAACAGACAGAGAATCAGCACTTTTGAAACAGGGCTGAAACAGAGGGGATTATGGGTAATGCTGCAATGATCTGTTTGGTGTTTCAGCCAATCAGAGACAGGTTCTGTATATATCTGAGACCTGTGATATGTTGATGAAAAACAGTATAATAGGGGACCTTTAAGAGTAAATCGTGATGTCTTTCCCGCCCTCACAGATGAGCCAAAGACTCTGATGTTCTTCGAGGGTTGTCCTCATCACCTCGGCTGCTCCATAAAGCTTCGCGGCGCCTCCGAGTACGAGTTGGCCCGTGTGAAGGAGATCATCATACTGATGGTCTGCGTGGCGTACCACTCCCAGCTGGAGATCTCTTTCCTCATGGACGAGTTCGCCATGCCGCCCAGCCTCGCTCAAAGCACCTCGTTCCCCTGCCTCCTCGAGGGCACGTCTGCAGAGGAGGAGGAGGAAGAGGATGATGGGGAAAGCAGAAAGCCAGATATGAATGAAGAGAGCCAGGAGAAAACTGTAAAAACTGAAGATTCTGCACAACAAGAGGAAGGGTTTCCATCTGAGTCTTTATCCACAAATGGAGATAAAGACACTCTCCAAGAGAAACAGACCTCTCCTTCCTTTGTCAAAGACGAGGAGGGTTGTAACGCTGAGAAAATGACTTCCTCGCCACTTTCCAGTCACATTTTACCAATCATACCCTTCTCTCTTCCATTCCTCATTGAAGAAGATCCGGAGACGAGCTCAGACACGCTCATCATGCAGTCTGAGGGGGAGACGATGGGGGAGGGGAGCTTATTGAAGGGGGAGTCGCAGGATATGGAAGAAATGGATAGTTCGGAGACCACCACTACGCCCAGGTTGTTTCGGGACCCCCTGCAGGACGACACGGGGATGTTTGTGGCCGAGCAGGTGGCGTCTACAGATGACCGTCTGAAGTCCATCTCTGCCGTCTTCAAGCAGGAGCTGAAGGACATCATCCTGTGCATTTCCCCCTTTATTACATTCAAAGAGCCCTTTCTTCTGATGCCTGCAGGCATGCACTGCCCCAGCAGGGATTACTTCCCCGAACAGGTACTGAGCTTCAGTGTTGTTATTTATATTAGTTGTTTTCTACTCAGTTTACATTTTTTGAATGGAAGCTGCAACTAAAGATATATTACTTAAGCAATAGCTCACGACAGGCCGAACCACGCCCCTTAACTGTGATATAATGGCCATATGGCCATTATATCACAGTTAAGGGGCGTGGTTCGGCCCGATGCGAAGCATGCAGTTTGCTTTTCAGCCAAACTGTATACAGTTAAATCGACCGGACTTCTTTCTGCAGATGTGAGCGTCCTTAACAACGGTCAATAAGTCCTTGCTGCACATTATCCCTTACATGTTTCCATCTTAAGCTTTGTTAGTTAGTTTCGTAACGGACGTAATGTAACAGTTGTAACGGTTGTAGCTTTTCTCAGACGCGGAGGGATACTGACTTGTTGTGAAAAGTAACTACAATTCTACCCGTGATATACGCTCATTATATCACGGCTAAGAACCAATCAGATTGCTTGATTTGACTTGTCCGTTTTATAAAATAACTTTTTGTTACCCTGGTCTCTGTGAGTCCAATTTGATACTTTCAGAATCAGAATGATGTATTTATTGTTATTTACATTTGTTGTGTTCTACTCGGTTTACACTTACTGACTGAGAGATGCCACTTAAGATACAGTTCTGGAAATATTCAATTACTTATTAAAAATGTTTGTCCTGGTCTCTGTGAGTCCTAAAGATATCTTCAGAATCAGAATACTTTATTTATTTATCCTGGGGTTTGGTGGTAGTTGCTCAATTTTAGAATTAAAATAAAATATTTAAAGTAAGAATGTACAATAAAGGATAGAATTAAAAGGGATAAAGATATTTAAACATAAGAAGTTAAGGTAAAAAATGTTGAATAAAAGCTCAAATTAAATAAAATTGAATTAAAATATTTATATAAAAAATGTAATTAAAGTAAAATGTGCATGTTGTACTACAATTAATAACACGTATATTACAATATATACAGTGGTGTTTTGCAATATAGAGTATGGTGAGATATGGAGGGTAGTGAGAAAAAGAAAGGGTCATTGTTTTAAGCAACATCAAAAGAGATATTAAAGATACGTAATTACAATGTTCTTCAACGGCATCTCTAACTGGGCCCTTGGGACAAAGAGGTGCAGAGTACAGCACCTCTTTGCAGTACAGCATTTTAGAAGCTGGAAAAAGCTAAAAAGATAAGAACATGAATAACAAAGGTACAGTCCATGAATAAAAGTTACAGTGCAGTGTAAGATGTGAATAGTTCAATTAAAAGTAGCGGCAAAAAGAAAAGTCTTCAGCCTGGATTTGAAAGTAGTCAGAGTTGCAGCGGACCTGCAGGTTTCTGGGAGTTTGTTCCAGATGTTTGGAGCATAATAACTGAACGTTTAGTTCTGACTCTGGGGACAGAGAGCTGACCAGAAGACCTGAGGGATCTGGATGGTTCGTAGTTGTCTCATCTCATCATGTGTTGTCCCTCTCCTCCAGGTGTTCCTCTCTCCTCTCCTCGACAAGGACTTCAAGGAGCTGGACGGGCGCAGGAAGCGGCAGCTCCTCAAAGACTCCGCCCCCTCCTCTCTGCTGAACGGACAGACGAACGGCGCCCCCCCGATGAAGCCCGTTGACGTCCTGCCGTCCCACAGCCTCACCAGCACGCGCATCATCGAGCAGCTGAGCGGCAGCCACGATCTGGCCAAGATGCTGGCGGACTACAGAGCCAAGGGGGGGCGAATCCGACAGAGAGAAGCCCCAGATCCCTTCAGCAGCTCCAGCCTCGTGGCTCCGGTCAGCGCCTCGACGGGGGGGAGAACCCTCCTGAAGACCGACAGCGAGGACGAGAAGACGGGGAAACTGAATGATGTGAACTGGGCCCCCAAGGTGAGCAGCGTTGGGACTATTACTTGTTATAAGGCAAGGCAAGTTTATTTATATAGCACCTTTCAACACAAGGTGCTTTACAATGTGACAGCCCAACGATGATTTGGACTTTATTACCCCACAAACACAAGCCACAGCTTTGCTATCATTGCAGTTTAGTTGTGTTTATATCCTACATTTGATTTGTAAACATATAATGCTTCACCGAACACAGGAGGGGGCTTGGCTGTCTACAAATAAAGACAGCTAATTTTAATTCTCCCCAAATATATTGAGGCTGAACCTGAACTTTCAGCTTGGGGGCCCCCTAGTGGCCCTCTGCATAGTCCGCCTATAGGAAGAAACGGCCCTGGTGAGCCCTGTTGAGACGATAACTTAGTCTAAACACAAACAAAATATGTTTATTTTAGTGTAACTCACTCTATTTAGCATGTCCTACCTCATTTTGTCAAGTCAAAGTCAACTTTATTGTCAATCTTTCAGTTTGTGTGTACAGACAGAGAGAGCGAAATGCCGTTTCCCACAATCCCCAATACAAAAATACAAATATATATAAAAATATGTATATACCTATACACAATCAACAGACACATTTATACATATCCACACATTAAGACATACATAAAAGCACAACAATCAATATATACAAAATAACAGTCACTTATTTTGGTGACATTTTGAAACCTGTTTTCCTCAATGTTTACTTGGTAGTAATCCTCATTTTTGGCACATTACAGCCAATTGTAGATAAACGGATAAGTGGTCTTACTTCAATAACTTCACTTTTGGGTCAACTATAGGGATGGTGGTGGTCTAATGGATAGTGAGGTGGGCTGAAGATCGGAAGGTTGTGAGTTCAAATCCCGCCACCACTAGTGTGCCCTTGAGTAAGGCACTTAGCCCTTAGTTACTCCAGGGAGAATGTCCCTGTAATTGGTCATTGTAAGTCGCTTTGGATAAAAGCGTCAGCTAAATGAAATGTAATCTTAAAATACTGTATAGGGTTTTAAATGAAATGTTGTCGTTTGGATTGATTGTCAGACAATACAAGCAACTTGAAGAAGTTACCACCCTTTGCGATCTGGGAAGTTATGACAAGACATTTTAAATTCTTAAAAATGATTTTGTCACATTAAACAATCTGCATTCCTAAACAAGGTACAACATTTCCCATCTTCCAGCTTCACTCCTTCTGCTGAATATTTACAGGTTATTTCATAAATCAATTTGAAACGTTATTGTTTGTGTTTGTCCCCAGCTGGACTGTCTGAACCCGGTCAACCATCAGAGGCTGTGTGTTCTCTTCAGCAGCTCGTCAGCGCAGTCCAACAACGCTCCCAACCCCTGCGTCAGCCCCTGGTAAACCTGTCCATCCGGAGTGTGGATTATTAAAGAATATCATACGGTGTTTTTTCTGTATTTGTACAACATTGCTTTTGTTGTCAACAGGATTGTCACAATGGAGTTCTACGGCAAGAATGACCTCTCTCTCGGCGTGTTCTTGGAGCGATACTGTTTCAGGTACGACAACATGGAAGGAAGAAGTTTACACTTATTTAATCCCAGCCTTTCTCCCAAAAACTAAATTATTAACATATATATATAACACTGCTTTATTTTCATATAAGTAAGAAAACAAGGAAATGTAAAGTCAGTTTTAATGTGTGTGTGTGTGTGTGTGTGTGTGTGTGTGTGTGTGTGTGTGTGTGTGTGTGTGTGTGTGTGTGTGTGTGTGTGTGTGTGTGTGTGTGTGTGTGTGTGTGTGTGGTGTGTGTGTGTGTGTGTGTGTGTGTGTGTGTGTGTGTGTGTGTGTGTGTGTGTGTGTGTGTGTGTGTGTGTGTGTGTGTGTGTGTGTGTGTGTGTGTGTGTGTGTGTGTGTGTGTGTGTGTGTGTGTGTCCAGGCCTTCCTACCAGTGCCCCAGCATGTACTGTGAGACTCCCATGGTGCACCACATCCGGCGCTTCGTGCACGGCAGCGGCTGCGTGCAGATTGTTCTGAAGGAGCTGGACTCTCCGGTGCCGGGCTATCAGCACACCATCCTCAACTACTCCTGGTGCCGCGTCTGCAAACAGGTCAGCAACTACATCACAGAACAGATAACAACTAAACATACCATAATATAACATAATTGTGTGGCGCAGTGGGTTGTGCGTTGGTGTTAGGACCAGGGGGTCACAGGTTCAAACCCCACTGCAGTCAGCATGTCGTTCCTGGGACACTTCACCCCAAATTGCTCCTGTGGGGATTGCCCACAGTATTGAGTATGTAAGTCGCTTTGGATAAAAGCGTCTAACAAGTGACATGTCATGTAATGTAATGTAATGTAATGATCTGGACTGAAATGTTATCTCAATGGGACCTGACAGATATGAAAGAAATAATAATAACATTAACATAAAGTATGAGTACCAATACCAAATAAAGTAATGTAGTTTTGATAACATAACCTGAGCTCCCTGAAGGAGAGATAATAATAATAATACATGGGACTTGTATAGCGCTTTTCAGGAAACTCAAAGACGCTTTGACAGAGAATACAAATTAAAAATAACAACAAAAAAACGCCAAAGAAATACAAAAAGAGATAAACAAAAACAAAAAATAGGGGGGGGGGGGGTGGTCAGTGGTTGAATGCAGTGTTGAACAGGTGGGTTTTGAGTGATGTTTTGAATGCTGTGAGGGAGGAAGAATCTCTGATGGATTAGGGTAGTGAGTTCCAGAGGGTGGGTGCAGCAACGGAGAAGGCTCTGCCGCCCCAGGGACAGGAGGTTGGCAGCAGCAGAGCGGAGGGAGCGAGTGGGAGTGTCTGTGGAGGAGGTCAGTCAGGTAGGATGGGGCCAGGTTAAAGGGGCTTTCAGTGTTTCCCCTACCATTGTCTTGGAGGGGCGCTGCTATTATAATTTTATAATATATATATACATATTTATTTTATTTTTTTATTTGGAACCAAATTGCAACTAAACTATATCTACTGTCACTTTTCACATTGAACATGTGCTCTTTTATTAAATAAACTAAACACTTTCATTTTAAGTTGTGAGTTTAGTGTTTTTGACCCTAAGAAACACTGAAGCACTAATCAATAACAATAATCCACAGCTCCTCTCTCTGCTACAGAGGATTTAAAAAAAAGATATCCCAATGTGCCCCCCCCCCCCCCTCCCCTGCTCAGGCAGCACCCCCCCCAAAGTAAAAGCAGTACACCTAGGGGAAACACTGGCTTTGTATGTCATTAGGAGGATTTTGTACTGGATTCTCTGGGGGATGGGAAGCCAGTGGAGCTTGATGAGGACGGGTGTAATGTGTTCACGGATTCAGGTGTGGGTGAGATGTTGGATTAAAGGGTTCATAAAACTGAATTAAAACTGAATACTGAACCAAATGTCACGTTTTTATTTTCCTTATCAAATTGGAAAAAATTGAATGGGTATTTATTTTATATTATTATTTTATAAATCAAGAAACATCTGATCTATGTTTAGGTGTGAAAGGGCCCTTATACTCATTTAATCATAGTTATCAAACTGGCAGGGGGGACATATATACTAACAACTAAAATTGGTTAATTTTAACCAGGTTACCCTTTTTATTTTATATGAAAATCCCCCAAAATCTAACCCAAAACTGTTTAATACCCACTGCAATATGCATTTTAGATACGGCCAAAAAGACTGGACTACATTACCATTTATTAAAACAGGAGGTGCATTGTTTCATTTATTTATTTTGTCTATATGGCCATTTTTATGTTGTGTCATTTATTATATGAATGCAAAAGGCTGTATTTCATGTTGATAAAAATCGAAAATAAAAATACGTTCAAGGAAACAAAACATAACCTGCCGAATGATTAAAGTGAAACCAGTTTGTAATTCAGGCGTAACTTCCTCTTGTTACTCACCTGGTGTTTCTCAATGTCGAGGAAGGCTGCTCCAGAGCCACTATTTCAAGCATACTACGTCATCGAGTGCCGCCGAAGAACTGTTCCAATGTCCAGCATACTTGGAATTCTACCGAGGCCGGCGTACTTCGTTGCTGGAAATTTCGACGCTGCACATGTGTAGACTCCGCGGTCTTAAAATCCCCACAATGCTTTGCGCACGGACCAATTTCCAAATCTTTGGCGGAAATCGCGCTCCATTTAAGGCGGGGCCTCGCATATGACGCACACCTGTTAGATTCTTGCCTCGCTTCTGAAGCATCTGACTCAGAGGTACATGTGCTACCAAGGAAGCCTCCTCGACATTGAGAAACACCCACCATCTCTGCCTCTTCTTTTCTCAGGTGACTCCAGTGGTGCCGCTCTCCAACGACTCGTGGTCCATGTCCTTCGCTAAATACCTGGAGCTGCGTTTCTACGGACACCAGTACACCAGGAGAGCCAACGCTGAGCCCTGCGGACACTCCATCCACAAAGACTACCACCAGTACTTCTCCTACAACCAGATGGTGGCCTCCTTCAGGTGGGTGACTGTCCTTTATTCAGATATTATTGCAACAACTGTGAACACACACACACACACACACACACACAACTCCACCCCTCAAAGACTGCAACCACTACTATTTTAGAAAAACGTATGGCTATTTTACTAATATATCCAACAGTTGCACTGTCATCGCTACTACCTCTGCTTTTACCACTCTTATTTATTTATTTGTGTCTATTTTTTACTGCAGTGAGAGTTGCCGAGGAAATGTCGTCGTACTTTGTATGATGACAATAAAGATATATTCTATTCTATTCTATTATTCCACACATGGCAGTTATTTTAAAACAAAACATGTACATGTTTTTTATAGCGCATGGTAGAAAGCAGCAGGGAGAAGAAAATCTTATTCTACCTGCCCCTTCTTAAAAAAAAGAAGAAATGAAATCACCATAAAAAAGTCAAATAAAAGCAATATTCTTTCAGTCGCTTACAAACACTGAAACATAAAACCAGAACACAATCAAAAGTCAACTTCTTCATACTGTCTAATTACGCTTTCTTTATACATTTTATTAAACATCTTCTTACAGCCCTTTAAATCATTTGGCAAAGAATTGCACTTCTTTACGCAGAGACACACATCTGCTTTAGTACGTGCAAACTGATGCTTCAAATTGAATCTCCTCCTATATGAATAGAAATACAATCATTAATCATGGTGTATACTGAGACACATCTTCGACTAGATGTGTTCTAGTCCACAAATATCCCTCTCTCTCTCTTCCTCAGCTACACTTCTGTCCGGCTGCTGGAGATTTGTCTTCCTCGTCCCAAGATCTTCATCAGGAACCTGGGACCCTCTAAAGCCAACATGCAGCAGGACCTGAAGGACTTCTCTCTGAAGTAAAGAGTCTTCAGTCTGCGTTCATTTCTACATGTCAAACACACAGAAAACAGCAGATAATCAAATCACCTTTGATCAGTATTTTTTAAACCATTATAAGAGCCAGGGTGTCCGCGGGGTCTTAAAAAGTATTACAAGTTGATAAATCAATTTAGTGAAGATTAAGGCTATTAAAAAGTATTAAACGGCATTTTCCAAGGTATTACATTTTGTAGCTTGTTTCCAATAAGTATATAAATTGTCCAAAGAGGTTGTATTCTACAGTGTGCCTGAATGTAATCATTGCGTAGGTGTGTAGTGTGATTCTGTGTAGTTTATTTATGGCATCCCGTTGGATTTGACGTCATCTGAACAGGACATCTCACGCTCACTGCTTGATAGCGCGCGAAGGTCTGTTTACGCCGGTTGTTAAACAACATCGTTATGGGGAAATGCAAGTCTGCGTCCAAATGGTTGGAAGATAAGGAGGAAGGACAATCAATACTGTATATAGTAAATGTGAGGTAAAGTGTGTCGCCAAGGTAACCGGTTAAAACTCAAAGTGGCGATGAGGTCTTGAAAGGTCTTACATCTGACTTCAGGATTCCTGCATATACCCTGTAGAGCAGATAATGATGACCTTTGATCAGACACCACACTGTTTATCAAACTCTGACCTTTAGTGGTTTTTATGTTGATATTATTTTCATTGTTGGTTCAGTCCGACAGAAAATGTCCCCTTTTTCTCAAACGTCTTCAAATGTAATGATGAAAAGTTACACATTTAAATACAGTAATTAATGCATTTTTCTTTTTACAAGTTATTACAGTTGATTGCGTCGACCTGTGTTGTACAAAGACAATGAATAATAATAATCAATTGTATTTATAAGCGCACTTTTCACTTGAGTAAACAAAACTCAAAGTGCTACAGAGTAAAATGGTTGAAAAAAAACAACAAAAATAATATATATATAATGAAGTAAACAATACAGCACCTTCCTTTAGTGATTTATTTCTGTGCATATCTCCTGTTTACATCAACAACTTCTTCCCCTTGTTTTGCTCAGAGTGACTCAGGTGTATCTGGCCATAGACGACCGCCTCACCTCCCTGAAGACCGACACCTTCAGTAAGACTCGAGAGGAGAAGATGGAGGACCTTTTTGCTCAGAAAGACGTAGGTTTCTCCCTGCAGTGTGTCTCACCTCTGGGTTCTGTTGGGGAAATAGCACCTGCAACCTTGGGCTGCTGTGCTCTCAGTGTTGTGTCTCCCTATTTCTACCTGTTGGTGTCAGCTGATGGAGGAGTTATTATAGTGCTTTATCTTGTTATGCACAATGTTGATTACTCTCTCAGAACTAGCTAAATACACGGGTCTGAGGTAGAGATCTTCAGAATTGGTTTGGCATCTTCTGTGTCACCTCGTGGCTGCAGAACATGTCTTGTGAATTCTCTGGCCGAAGCTCCAAATAAACCATCAGTGTTTACCAAGCCCCCAGGAAGTGCGCCGGACTCTGAGGAAAATATTTGTTGTGTCCAAACGGCGGTACTACAACTTCCGTATCAGTCCGTGACGTCACCCGGCCCAGAAAGACTTTTCCCCATTGACTAACATGGGGAAAGAGACGTCTGTAAATCAGCGGATAATTTTTTTTAAACTAAATAAACCAACCAGTATGAACTATTTGATAGCCCTTATTATAATCATTAGGTCCTTAAAGTTGTAAAATGCACTAAAAGCCGAATCTAGATTTATTTTCTGTCTCCATTCATTCTACTGAGCCGAGAGTGGGAGCTCCGGGGGCGGGGCTTAAGGGGCGCATGCTCTGTGAGCGCACATACGGGTTCTTCTGCTCTGACAGCCCGGCATGATGGGTAATCTGTGACGTCTCGCTCTCTCAAAAGTTGGGCCATTTTGCCTTCATGCGCCAATGAGCAGCTCTCATAGGAAAGAACGAGACCCCGCCTCCCACGCTGTATCCAGTTCTTATTATACATCCATGGAGTTTACCATCAAAGTTCCTGCTGTCCCCGAGTCTCGTCTCCATTGCTTCAGAAGTTTCCATCACATGTTCAGTGGTTGTTTCATACTCATGGTGGTGTGTGTGTGTGTGTGTGTGTGTGCGTGTGTGTAGATGGAGGAGGCGGAGCTGCGCAGCTGCATGGAGAAGCTCCAGGCTCGACTGCAGGCCTGCGGGGTGGATTCTCCTCAGCAGGTGCAGGCAGTGCTGGAGTCTCTGGTGATGAAGAAGCAGAGTCTGTGTGAGATGCTGCAGTCCTGGAACGGCAGGTCAGACGCACCGAACATATATGTATATGTTTTATTGGATATTATTTACTTATGGATAAGATTGGGTCTAAAACCACCAGACTCAGGGACAGTTTCATCCCACAGGCCATAAGACTGTTAAACACCTGAACTTTTCAAAGAACATCCATAACATTCATCTGTTTGCAACTTATATATATATCAATATTCCAATTATTGTATATAGACTATTCTGCACTATTTCTATTATATTATATTTTATTTGTATTTACTTGCACTATTATCTGTTGTATCGTGTTGCTCTGTTGGAGGAGCCTGTGACCTAAGATTTTCATCGTCATAACTAAACTGTAGCTATACACATGACAATAAAAGCCTTGAATCATAAAAAGCATATATGGAAGGGATTTCGCAAAAAAAAGTCAAACGTTAATTTCTACATCACAGAAAACGGCAGTTCAATCAGGAGAGACTTCACAAGAACATTTATTAACACATGCCATATGATAGATGTTAAGTCTTTGGCGATTAGACCCCGATCCTGAAATCGTATATATCTAAAGGGGGAAATGCAGCCGTGAGCATATAGGGAGGCGTGTGGTGCAGTGGGTTCTGCGTTGGTGTTCGGATCAGGGGGTCACAGGTTCAAACCCCACTGCAGTCAGCATGTCGTTGTGTCCCTGAGACACCTCACCCCAAATTGATCCTGTGGGGATTGCCCACAGTATTGAGTATGTAAGTCGCTTTGGATAAAAGCGTCTAACAAGTGACATGTAATAGGGAACCCCCCCCCCCCCAGGGGTCTAGACACTGGTGATGATGCTGAAGAGGGGATGTGAAGAGGTCTTTTGATTAGCTCTCCTGGCAGTGGATATGATGAATGGAGGTGGGGGGGGAGGAGGTGGGCGGCAGCATGAAATCACAGCTGACTGCAGGAGAGAGGAGAACCATTTTAAAGTTTGGCTGCAGCACGATGATTGGCTGCTGAGATTGAGGTGAATGTAATGGGTTAGCAGAACGCCCGTGATGAGCTGATGAGCAGCTGCCAAGTGAATGTATACCAGTCTTCCTGAAAGAACTTGCGCTGAGCTTCATTTAATAATGACCTTTGACCAGTATTATTAAAACCACACACCTCTGGCCTTTAGTTGTTTATATGATGATATTATTTTTGTTGATTAATCTGCGAATGATTCTCTTGATTTATCGTTTAGTCTGTAAAATGACAGAAAATGTCCCCAAACGTCTTCCAATGTAATGACTCCTTTTTATATGTTTTATCAGATATGATTTATTTGGTGGAAAGTCAAACAAAATCAAACTTCTGAGGAAAAGGAAATGACAAAAAGTACCAAAGAATGAGAGACTGCCATAGAGTCGTCCTACATTTAATCTGTGTTTTTTATATTTTAAAGGTCACCTATCGTGCTATTTTTAGGCAATAGCATAGGTCTCAGATATATAAAAATATATAAAAAACATGTCTATGAAGTGTTTTGCTCAAAATACCAAACAGATCACCCATTCTAGCCATGCCTCATATCCCTCTATTTCACTTCCTGTTTCAAAAGTGCTGATTTGGGGTATAAAGCTTTACAAATAAAAAAGTAGGGGTCTGAGCTCATGTGGGACCCGGCAGCTACCGTCTAAACTAAATACTGCCGTGATGAAACGCCATATCATGGATTATCAAGGATTATTTCTGAAACAGTATGGAGCTCAAAGGCTTTCTCTCTTGCCGGTTATACCACAAGGTGAGTTCCTTTTTATTTCCTGCTTCTTCACACACATGCTCTCCAGTACAGGTTAGCTCTGAGTGTTAGCCATGCTAATGTAAACACCGACCATATTACGTGCAAAACAGTCGGGCATTGTTTCTGATAGCAACTTTTCTGATAGTGCCGTGGGTCCACATTTCAGATATTACGTTATATCGGACGCAAATCTGGATCAGCTCCGTTGTTCCCCCGTTTTTAGAGATTTGGGTACGGAGGAAAAGAGAGAGGGTTTTATTTTCTGACGCTGCGTGAGTTCCCCGACACACCGGGGACACATATTGATGTATAAAAGACATCAAAAAGTGCATTTTGCATGATAGGTCCCCTTTAAAAGAAGCTCCCAGGCTCTCTTTCTCCTCGTCTTCCTCACGGTGTTTCCTCCTCTCCTCTCTTCAGGCTGCAGGACTTGTTCCAGCAGGAGAAAGGCAGGAAGCGTCTCTCCGTCCCCCCGAGCCCCGGCAGACACAGACAGACCACCGAGGAGAGCAAGGTCTGTAGTGTCATCCATTTACTTTACATGTATGCCCTTATGCCCCCAAAAAAGATTCCTACTAAGCAGTTTACATGGATAAAGTAATGTTTGCCAAAATGTGATACTTTAATGTGTTCTTAAGTGTGAGGATTTATGTTTATCTTATCTAACTTTTGGTTAAAATGTAATATATCTGGTGTTTTTCACTGTTGGTTGGAAGAAAACAACACATTTGATTTGTCGTTTTGGGCTAGTATCAAGTAGTATTAACTTGTTTATTTGTTCTACAGAGTGCCCTGGAGTCCTCCCCTCGTAACCCCTCACCTGTGGTCCAGAACGGAGACAAGGGTGAGATATCTGTCTAATATTTATAAGATAAGATAAGAAGTACTTTATTGATCCCAAGTTGGGAAATGTTTGTGTTGCAGCAGCATAAAAAGACAAGGCATTGTACAATACAAATGCAGAAAATATACATGTTGTACATAAGTATGTGAGGGATGGAATATGAAATGAAATGTAATACATGTTGATTCTGACTGTATCTGATGTGTTTTCACTGACAGAGGACCGTCACCTCTGCACACTGCCCTCCACCTCCTCCTTCCTGCTGCCGTCCCCAGGAGACCCCGCGTCTGATCCCTTCACACCTGGACCCTCCTTCACTGAGCAGGACTCTCTCAGCCTCCCAGAGGGTAACAACACACACACACACACACACACACAAACACACACACACACACACACACACACACACACATAAATAATCTCTCATATTTTACAGTATCTGTCTAATCTGTTTGTTAGAAAAATCTCACTGGTCCCCGGCTTGAGCTTCAATCTCAGGATCCATGTATCTCTGATCCTCTCCAGAATGGAAGTAGTCATCACATACAGAGCATCAACTAGTTCCTGAACAGTGTCCTCCTTCACATGCTGATATACAAGAGAGGGAGTTACACAGTCACAAGATGGAGGAATATAAAGCAGTATTCAATGTTTAGTTCAGATTAGCTCCACGTCAGAAATGAGCATGCTTGTCATATGTCTATCTCCATAGAGGCTGAATCATCATGTTAATCACATAGCTATCATATGCCTAAAACAGTCCTGATGCTCTTCTAGGTAATCATACATCCTGTCATGTACACAGCTACAGTTGGGATACCTTTGTTATCATGTGTACTCTCATATTGGAAGAGTACATTCAGTATTTTCCCAACACTGTTTAATTCTGTCTGCTTGTGTTCAGATGTGTTTGACGGACACCTGCTAGGCTCCACTGACAGTCAGGTGAAGGAGAAATCCACCATGAAGGCCATCCTCGCCAACTTCCTGCCCGGCAACAGCTACAACCCCATCCCCTTCCCGTTGTAAGTGATTCACTCTGACTCTGAGGGGTGTAGTGTCTTTCTGAGAGCTGAGAAATGTTGTGACTAAAATTCAATCTTGGTTGTGTCGACTCAATCTACTTCGTTATTTGGTTTTGCAAAAGCATACAGTTGTCACGTCAGAGCGTGTATCGAAAATGGGAAAGCAAATATTCACTTCACAAGACTAAATAAAAAGTCAAATGTTGCTCAACTGGCCATTTAATCTTTGATCAGATAGAGCAGTGCTTCTCAAAGTGTGGTCCGTGGACCCCTGGTGGTCCGTGAGCGCCCCCTAGTGGTCTGTGAGTATATTGGTAAAATTTCACATTTGAAATAAATAAATAAATGTAAGTTTTCCACACTCTTGCAGGAATATCTCCGCAATGGAGCGAGCTTAAGCTTTCGATTGCATGATATAGCCCAGCGCAACACCTTCATCACACATGTTGCCACTTGCTTGTACCATTTTCAGGCGATTTTTAATCTGTTCTAGAAAAACGATGTGATTTTGGATATTTGTGGAGTTAGGTGGTCCGCGAGTGTTTTTTTATTGGTTAAGTGGTCCTTGGTATGAAAAAGTTTGAGAAACACTGAGATAGAGTGTATTGAGAAATTAAAACTCACATGAAAGAAAACATGAATATTAAAGTGATGCATTTTAGCATCTTTTGGCCAAAATGAGTATTACAGCAACAACGAATGCTGATATTCCTGTTTTTATCACTAGATATGTATTTAGTAGCACCGATAGCTCCAGCTGTAGCGACAGCAGGAACAAACATGAGATGCTGAGGTCATCAAAAATGAAGTCTGTAATCCAAAATGCGTGAACAAATGTTACTTTAATAAAGATTATCACGTTTATTATAACTTCCACGAATATATTTTTCTTCGTGATCCTTTGTTGCGGTCAACAAAAAGTACAGCGACCCTCTCACCCTCTCTTCCACACACAGCTGATTATATTAATAAGGAGTGTCGCTTATACCCATGTGACCCAACTGATCCCGCACATAATTGATGCAGAAATAATAAGTTATAATATTATAAACAAACAACAATACCAAAATATAAACAATCAAAAAACCCAGAAATCCCAACTCTGACATTCCTGGCTCCCACACCAGCAATAAAACAATGTTGGGAAGAAAAGCCAATGAATGACCTTTAAAGGCAGTTTTCACAGGCTTTAAAGGTCCCATTTCTACTGATCATAATTCCATTGTTGAGGTCTACTAGAATAGATTTATATTGTGCAATTTTCCAAACTCACATTGGTTTCTCATACAGCGTCTCTGTATAGTATGTGTATTATACATACCCCCCCCCCCCCCCCTCCCTGTGAGCCCAGTGGCCGTCTGCGAGACAGCAAGACACAGCGAAACACAGCCCGAACACACACACACACACGCAGCCTGGCTGGGAGTTTGTGTGTGTGCTCACACACCGACTCACAGCCTCGCCGCGTCCCGCCGTCTCAGGGAGAAGAAATCGGCGGAGCTGCAGCTGAGAAAAGATTGAGTGTGTGTGTGTGAGGAAGTCCGTTACGTTTAGTCCGCGGACTTAACGTAACGGCTCCACGGACGTAATGTAACGGCTCCACGGATTGGTCCATTTGGTATGGGCACGTCACTGTACCCAGGAAGAAAAAGAGAAATCTCCAACGAGGCGTTCTGGGGCAGCATAGACAGGTCTTTTCTGTGTTAGAGTTTTACTCGCTACAGGGTGTACTTTGAGGGTTTGTGACTCTGCAGACCGTTTACATGCAGAAACACCTTCATAACACACAAGGGGACGGGTAATAACCGGAAAAGCATGACATGGGACCTTTAACATTTATTGATGTGTGTTTTCAGCGACCCGGACAAACACTACCTGATGTACGAACACGAGCGAGTTCCCATCGCCGTCTGCGAGCGAGAGCCCAGCTCCATCATCGCCTTCGCTCTCAGGTGAGGAGTTTTCTGTGTGTCAGCTCAGAGTAATGCTTTTATACATGTCCTAGATCACATGTGTCAAACTCAAGGCCCGGGGGCCAAATCAGGCCCTTGGTGAATTTAATTTCGGCCCGCAGGATAATTTTTAATTACTATTAGATCTGGCCCGCCGGTATATTGCACGCACACCTTCTCTCAATCCTGAGGGTCTCCTCAGCTCAGAGCCTGACCCCAAACATTGATGAACTTGCACCCAAGATGAGATGCCAAGTATCTGGCTTGAACTAGCATCACAGAGCAGCAAGCTGAGTTTCAATCAGGGGCGGACTGGCCATTGGGAATACCGGTGGGCCGGTACCGAAGTGGGCCGGTCGGACAATTCACTATTGAATTGTCCGACCCCCCCCCCTCCGTTGACAATTGACTAGCGGTACCGAGTTGGGCCGGTCGAGTTTCCCGGGCTAATTTTTAGTCCCAGTCCGCCCCTGGTTTCAATGGATGTTTCCTTCTGCACTTTTTCTCTCACGACAACAGGGCATGTTTGGTTTGTTCTTTGAGGGAAATAGTTTTGTTGAAGCTGTTGTTGGCCTGTGGAAAAATGTAATCATAAGAAATGACTCTGAAAAGCTGCAGATAGAGCCATAAGAAATGAATGCAACTGATTATTTAATGTTTAATGTTGTTTTTATCGGCAATCATTTAAGCTTTGTTAGTTCCAGGTTTAATATGTGCAATAAGTTCATTTCAATAAGTTCTGCTATAAACATTGAACCAGTACCCATTTTTTTATTTTGGCCCACTGTGTATTTGAGTTTGACACCCCTGTCCTAGATGATGTCAAGCATGATTGCTGTGACGCTTTCCATGTAAGAGTCCGAAGTCATTTATAGTCCATGGTGTGTAATAAAGACGACAAACAAACAATATACAACTCCAGACCACACGGTCAACCGAAAGTATAGCTATTCACCCTCTTCCTACGTCATATCCCCCAAAACCAGCATCCAACAGGTGACCCAAATACCAATAAACCACACCCACGTGACGATTGCCAGAAGTGATAAACTATAAGAATTAAACAAACAGAAATTAAGATAATAATATAAATAATAAGCAATGGCAAAACAAGCATTTTGGCTCCAACAATGATGATAATGTGTGTTGTGTTTCCCTCCAGCTGTAAGGAGTATAAAACGGCGCTGGATGATTTCTCCAAAGCTTCAAACACAGGCGGGGACGAGACTCCTGTGGTCACCAGGTACAGAGGATTCATGTTGAAATGTCTCAGGAGCCAGGGGTGGAAAGTTACTAAACATCATTATAATAAAACATTAATAGGATATGTAATATACACCAGATATATCAAATGTAGCAGAACAGATTTCAGAGGTTGTGTCATATCAATGGTTGGTGATTTTTTGTTTGTATTTACCTGCAAAAGCACAATCAACAAAGCAAGAAGGAATTAATGCCAAGGCTCCAGTAGATCCATCAAAAACGTTAAAGTAAAGATAGTATTGTTTCACATTTCGAATGAACACAATCACTTTAAATATCTGCACAAGTATGCAATTCATAATCATTTTCCTCTCTGATAACAGACACAATGCTCGGTCTTTGCAAGCATCCACATGCCGCATCCCTTCCAAAAGAGTGTAGCAGTGTGCATGTGTTTTAAAACCCAAACTAAACACTTTTGCAGTGATTTTTGTATGTTTGCATTCTTTGGTTACCTTTAAACACATAGAGAGGCGAAGTCCCGCCCATCTACTTCCGACCCATGGGACCTTATTTCGGAAAAATTATGCATTGAAGTCAATGGGGAGAGAAAGATTATCTTACGATCCCGTTTGAATTGTGCCACGAATTACACATATGATGTTTGTCAATCTTAACAAATCATTTCCATGTCAAAAAAGTCACAGTTTGTCGTAAAACTGTTGAAATATAAGACGATGAAAAATACGCAACTAGAAAGACTACAAATCCCAGAATCCCTGTCCCGCATGCTGGCTCTAACTGAACCGACTAACTCCCCTTGTGTGTATGGAGGCGTGTGGCGCAGTGGATAGAGCCTTGGTATGGGGATCAGATGGTCACAGGTTCAAACCCCACTGCAGTCAGCATGTCGTTGTGTCCCTGAGACACTTCACCCCAAATTGCTCCTGTGGGGATTGCCCACAGTATTGAGTATGTAAGTCGCTTTGGAAAAAAGCGTCTAACAAGTGACATGTAATGTAATGTGTATGTACAGCTCTCAACATGCCCAGACTTGGAGTGATTTTCACCTCTTTTAATACTTTTCGCCTCATTCTGAAAGAAAGAAGTGAAATGTGCCAACGTGACGGCCGTCTTGGTGTGTGGTGCGAGACGGGAGATGTAGTTCATTGAGCGGTTTCACACCAAAAAAAGTGTTACTTCACAGTTTTACCACACATTTGAATTTTCTTAACTTGCAAAATTATCTTTTAAATTGACAAACATCATATGTGTAATTCGTGGCACAATTCAAACGGGATCGAAAGATAATCTTTCTCTCTCCATTGACTTCAATACATACTTTTTCCGAAATAAGGTCCCATGGTGGACAACCGGAAAGGGAGGGACTTCGCCTCTCTATGGTGGTTAAAAAGCAGGAAGAGCTTATCATTTGAGAACATAATTTAGTAATGTATTTTGTAATCTTTCCTCTCAGTGCTGGAGAGAGTCGGACTAAGAGCAGCCCAGCGAGGCCCAGCGAGTCGGTGTCATCTCAGCACAGCCGCAGCAGCATGGACTCGGATCCTCTCAGTGAGTGATCAACACAAACAACAATAACAACTCACTAAGACATTTTAAACACTTAACATGCCTCACTTTTATTTTCTGTGTTGTGCAGAGGATGCAGACTTGTCAGATAAACAGAAAAAACAAACCATGAATCCACACGTCGAGCTACGTGAGTAATTCTACTATCATCTGTTTCAAGGAGGAAGTATTCTGATCTAGAATTACTACTAACAACCTAAAAAACCACCCTGTTAAAAGCAAAATACTGCATTGAAAATCTTACGTTAAGTATGTGAGTATCATACAGCAAATGTAAGAAGATGTCCCCTGTGACTTTTAAAATATTGATATGAATGTAAAAGCAGGATTTTACCTATGGATGAAGCTGCTCATTAATTGATTGTTTTTTAGGTTTGTAAACATAAAAAAAATAATCTGAAATGCTATCACTATTAAACTAAGTCCAACATTTACAGTATTATGTCCTAATCTCAAAACTTTAGGAAAATACTTGTTTAGTTTTTGAGAAAAAGCAGGAAATGACATAACAACCCCGAGCTAAAGAATTGTTTGAAATCATATTTAAATAAACTGTCGTATACATTAAGTGGAGAAAAAAGTAAAATGTTCGCTCTAAGATGTAGTTGAGTATAAGCTTACAGTAGTTGCAGTAAAATAAATACTCAGTAAAGTAAAGGTACTTAAAAATATGTACTTAAGAAAATGTCCTCAGAGCTTTTATGACCTGTAGAAATGTCCCCAGTTGTGAATGGATGTAACCCCTAGATTCCACCGGGTCCGTCTGCACCGCGTTACAGACACAGCGATCGCGGCCACTCAAGTCAATGGGTGCTATTCCACCAGACACGCCGCGTTACGGCTAGAAGCGACCCAGAAGCGTCTCTGCGCTGGGCTCCGCTAAAAATAGGATGCAAGTTTATTTTCGACGCGAGGCGTTGCATAGCGCCGGGCAGGAAGTGGACCGGTCAGAGCATCCAGTCAATCCCCAAAATAAACTAATTTTGCAGACCCTATCCCTCCGTAGTCTTTCAAGTAGGAGGAGAAATGCCAGCGTTCTCCTCCGGTTTACAGGCACTGTGTAAATTAAATCAAAGTTTATTTATAAAGCATATTTATAAAGCACATTTAAAAGCGATTTTTGGTCGGGCCAAAGTGCTGTACATGTAATAAATACTACAATCACATAAAAACACATTACTACAATCACAATAAAAGACAATAAATTACAACAGATATATAAAAAACGTTTTAAGTGTAGATTTAAAAACCCCTAGGGTCTGGGCCGACCTCACATGGAGGGGCAGAGTGTTCCAGAGCCTGGGGCCAGCTGCTGCGAAGGCTCGGTGCCCTCGGGTTTTGAGCCTGGTCTTGGGCACTACCAGCAGCAGCTGCTCAGCAGACCTTAAAGCTCTGGCTGGGGTGTAGCGCTGGAGGAGTTCAGCTATATAGGCCGGAAGACACTCCGCTTCTGAAATGCTTCTGAAACGCTCCTGAAACGCGCCCGGTGGGTTATGACGCCGGAGGCCGGACCAAAACCGCGGCGCAGCCGTGACGCGACGCAGACGGACCCGGTGGAATCGAGGGGTAACGCTTTTCATGTCATCTACTGTAACATTAAACTTCGTCTGTTGGGTGTTTTTGCAGAATTCTCCGATGCCAACGCTAAGTTTTACTGCCGGGTCTACTATGCCGAGGAGTTCCACCAGATGAGAGAGCAGATCATGGAGAGCTCGGAGGAAGACTTCGTCCGCTCGCTGTCGCACTGCGTCAACTGGCAGGCCCGCGGGGGGAAGTCTGGAGCCGTCTTCTACGCTACAGAAGGTTACAAATATAGTCTCACATATTAATGTCAATACTCCTGCAGACAGTAAGAAGAGCCTCTTTGTGTTCAGAGAGAGAGAGAGAGAGATTTCTGAGTTTATCGTTTGTTGAATAGAGTTATAATTACAAATAATGGAGCAATTCACAAAGACACAGATTACGAAAGGAAACATTTCATTTGTCATTGTTTTAAATATTGTAGAAAAATGTTGCGCAGTTTTTTTTTTTGGTGTCTATGTATAATTATTTGGATACACACACAATATGTGTTGATAAGAGAGGTTTATTGTTGGTTAAGGTATTTTTATGGGATTTGATCATTAAGAAAAACTGAACAGATGTGTCTTTTATGCGAGACACTGTATACTGAACTTCTAAGCATTGTGTACAAAAAAATACAAAGTAGATGTGTACAAAACTGTCTGAAAACAAGACTTGATTTCTTTGAGGCTTTATTCCATTGAAAGAATAATGCTGTCATTCTATACTTTAATTATTACTAACCAGAAGTGTTAGTGTGTCTTTTTTTAAAACATTATTAATAACAGGATCCTCTCTCCTCAGATGACCGGTTCATCCTGAAGCAGATGCCCCGTCTGGAGGTGCAGTCCTTCCTTGACTTTGCTCCTCACTACTTCACCTACATCACCGGGGCCGTGCAGCAGAAAGTACGCAACATACAGAAAATCCTCTCTCTGTGTTTTTATATCTGAGGGTGTAGTGGCTGAGTTTTAATGAATAACAAACCCATCTTTGTGCCTCAGAGGCCGACGGCGCTGGCGAAGATCCTGGGAGTTTACAGGATCGGTTACAAGAACTCTCAGAACAACACGGAGAAGAAGCTGGACCTGCTGGTGATGGAGAACCTGTTCTACGGGCGCAAGATGGCTCAGGTGAGAATGTACTATAATAAATGGTGTCTCTATTTTATATAAGATCATTATGTGTGTGTAGCGTTGTCCTGTGAGATCCCTGTATCTCTAAAAAGCCAACTTTGCATGAGTTTCTCCGAAAAACAGTCCCGTTTTCAGCTTTGTGACGAGGCCTTTTCCATCTGATCCAAGAGGCTTTCAAAGAGTTTAAAGAGCTTAAAGTGGACCTATCATGCTATATTATAATAATATAGTGTAGGACCATACCTATATAAGGCATATTTATACTTTTTTTTTTTTCAAATTACCAAACAGATCATGGATTTTAGCCATGCCTCATTTCACTTTTTTACCCCTGTTTTAGCAAGGGCAGATTCAGTGAGAACAGCACCATCTAGAGGCCTGGCATATGTACTACAGCGTCTCCAGCGCTTTCGAACGGCAATGGCCGTGGCTGTCTCCTCCTGATTGGTGGAGTTGGCCCAATAACCGTAGCGCCACCGTCCTGACGTCAGGACAGTGTTCAAATCTGGATCAGTTTTTATCAGATCCGTGGCAGCCCCTTTTTTAGAGATTTGGGTATGGAGGAAAATAGAGAGGGTTGTGTTTTCTGACACTTGGTGAGTTCCCTGGAACACCGGGGACACATATTCATGTATACAAGACGTACAAAAGTGCATTTTGCATGATAGGTCCCCTTTAAGTAGGAGAATTGTTTCTACACATAAATACCGCACTTTATCCCTGACTGTGTACTGTAGCATAAAATGGAAATACTGAAATGAAGTACTAAGCCCTCACTCAACAACATAAGCCCACATTTTAAAGAGCTACATGTTGTCCAAACGCAAAATGCTAAACACCAAAAAAAAGCTTAAAACTTTATCCGCTAGTACAAAGTAAAAAGCGGTGGTATGTGTTTTGAAGCGAACGAAGCAGCAGCAAAATAGGTCTGTTGAGTGTCTTCAAAGTTAGATCTGAGTGGAAGCAGAGCGCTGAACACACACAGGAAATACGGCTCTTATTAAAACAATGTCATTCTTAAAGTACCAATACTAATGAAATGGAGGAATCGTAACGTTTTTAACGGCAGCGTATCGCGAAACCTTTCTAGTATCGGTGCACCGTGCAACACTACTTGGCAGTCAACAGAAAGAACACTTCCTCTCCCTCTTTAGGTGTTCGATCTGAAAGGTTCTCTGAGGAACCGGAACGTGAAGACGGACTCGGGGAAGGAGAGCTGCGAGGTGGTTCTTCTGGACGAGAACCTGCTGAAGCTGATCCACGACAACCCGCTGTACATCCGCTCGCACTGCAAGGCCATCCTGAGAGCCGCCATCCACAGCGACGCCTACTTCCTGTCCAGCCACCTCATCATCGACTACTCGCTGCTGGTTGGTCGAGACGACGCCACCGATCAGCTGGTGGTCGGGATCATAGGTGAGGAGAGAGATTGTTGAAATAATCTATATTATATGATCATGTGTTGTAAGTCATGCTCGTGAGTTTCATCATTTGGTTTATCTAAAGAGGCCATGAATGTGCACATGTCTGTCTGCAGCGTGTTATTGAGCATAGGGTCTTAACATGTGATTGTAAAAGGTCCAAAAGGTATAGTGCTATGTAAACTCAAAAGAAGTGTATACAACCTGTGAGATTCTGTTATTCTTTAGACAGACACACATACTCTTGATGGACTTGACGCAAGTATTCTGGCTCTCATACTGTTGGACAACAGTATTTTGTTATATGGTCTTGAGTGTCTAAAGTTTCGGATCCACGACAAGATAAGTGAGATGTGGTTTTGATATATTCTTCTGGTTTTCCCCAAGCCCCCAGGAAGTGCGCCGGACTCTGAGGAAAATATTTG